AAAAAAAAAAAAAAAAAAAAAAAAGAAAGAAAGAAAGAAAAAAAAACGGAGGGTAGAATCACGAAGAGAAAGATAAATGCAGCATCGAACAATCGTATCGCTTGTTACCGCTCGTATTTTTAGAACAAGGAACTGGTGCGACTTCGATTCGAAGACAAAGTGTAACTGTTACTTGCGTGTAAAAATACAGATATATTTTTATAATCGATAGAACGAGATCTTGTATCTCGTCTACCTTCTTCATAAACCGTTTTGATTTGCCGCAAGATTGAACCGATCGATGTGCAATTTACGTGCGAGCTTTAAAGTGTTTTCCGTCTGAATAAATGTTCGAGATTTAAAAAAAAAAAAAAAAAAAAATCATTGCGCAGTCGATGATTATAATAATAATAAGATACGATTCGCGGAGATAGAAACGTAATTAAAATTCTACGTAGAGCGAGTGCTGCATGTGTGTAAATGGCACATCAAAAGAAATTGCAGAGAAATTGTTTATAAAATATAGATAATAGAGAAACGCGAGATAGATGATTGAATTCGTTTTTCGAATTTTTCTTTCTTTCTTTCTTTCTTTCTTTCTTTCTTTCTTTCTTTCTTTTTTTCCTCGCCCAAGATTTAATTTAAATAAAATTATTGCGCAGTTATATATGTTAACAATATAAGATATGATTCATGGAGTACGTAGTAGATACACGCCAGCTTCTACGAAAGCTGAGTGTTCGTGTAAATGACACATGAAAGAAATTGTAGAACATTGTTTATAAATACGATAAGAGTTATAAATCTATCGTATATACTTGCGTCAATTGCATATGCAATTTTCTAAGCTGATTTGCTAGGAGAAAGAATATCGAGAAAAATAGATATTCCGTATCATTTTCTTTGGGCGCAAGGAATTGCCTCGTGTTCGCTTACATCGCTTGCAACTTTAGATTAGAAAGTTAATTTAAAAAAAAAAAAAAGGAAATTCGAATTACGAAGAGGAGGACGAAAAATCGTTCCATCGTACGATACTTGTTGCGAGTTAATTCTCTCTCGGATTTTGGCTAATCATGTTTGCAAAATAAATTTGACAATTTTCGAATGGATGAGACGCAAGGAAAAATAAGCTAAATCGAGGAGAATAGATTTTGTACAAAAAGAGAAATTTAAAAAAATATATATATATAAAACGATCGATCACACGATTCATCTTATTTCGATCACACTTGCTCCAAATCAACGGCAATATTTCAAATTATTGCACAAAAAACTCACGTCAAATGTCAATGAAATTTATATATTTTCATTTACATACATTCACTTTAAGTCATAACCATTAAAATTATCAAATTATTCTCGTATATATCGTTTCATAACCATATCGCAAGATCATGTTAAATCAAAGAAACCACTATATGCTAATACTAATAAGAAACCATTATATACTTATAATACTGCCGATATATTAATCGGTAAAAATAGAAAAATCTAGAACAGTATCCGTTCACTTTAAATATCACATATTCCTTTCACAAAGGGGGGAAAAAAAAAAAAAAGAAAGAAAAAAAAACAAATACAAAAAATACAACGTACACTTAACTGCTTACCCATATCACGAAATTAAAAATAAGAAGAAGAAGAAGAAAAAAGAAAGAAAGGAGAGAGAGAGAGAGAGAGAGAGAGAAAAGAAAAAGAAAAAAGAAAAAAAGTCTAAGGATCTCTCTTCTCCAAACCGATCCAAAATCCGTGATCAGGAGTTAACGAGAAATTCGTCTTGCTGAACTCGATCGACGCTCTCGTCTTCTCCGTCCGTTTGATACGGAATTTGCGCAGCATGTAAGCGATCAGAATCTTCGTTTCCATCAACGCGAAACGATTGCCGATACATTTCCGGGGTCCGAGGCCGAACGGCATATACGTATACGGGACGATGTTGCGCTTGTTCGCGTCGTTGAAACGTTCCGGATCGAATTTCTCCGGCTCGGGGAAATACTTTGGATCGTGATGCAGGCCGTAAACAGGGAACCAAACGATATTGTCCGGATGCACGATTAAATGATCGTAACCTTGCTCAGCCGGGGGCAATTCGAACTTCTCCACGCACAGCCTGTCTATGAAAACTATCGGTGGATATTTTCGCAATGTCTCAGACGTGACCATATCCATGTACTCCATTTTCAACAGTGCCTCGTACGTGATCATCCCGTTCCCCCCGTCCATGAAACGATCCACCTCTTCCCTCAATCTCTCCTGCACGGGCGGGTTAAGCGCCAGCTCGTGGGCAACGTAGCACATTAGCGTGGAGGACGTGTCGAAACCGGCGAGGAAAAAGATGAACGCCTGGGCCGTGATGTCATCGATGGTCATCCGATTATTCGTGGCTGCGGGCCGCCTATCCTTGTCCCTAGCCTGCATCAAAAGGTGAATCATGTCCGGCCGGACTATCCTCCTCTCGTCCCTCGCTCTCACGGTCTCGCGTACCACTCTGTGGAAGAAGGTGGCGGTGTCCCGTGAAAGGAACGACAATCCCGCCATCCTCGTCAAACGTGGATTCATACGGAACAGCATGAACTTGAACAATCGAAATATACCGCCGAAATTGGTCGCGTCCGCTCCTTTCACGTAAAACTCGTTCTCCCGATTCTCCATCGAGTTGACGCTTATACCGAAAGCTACGGTCGCTATCACGTCGTTGGTGTACCTCGTGAACGCGTCCTTCGCCTCTATCGAGCTCGAGAACTCGGGATGATCGTAGAGATAACGGACGAACTCCTCGGAACAATTGGACACGAGCTCGAACATGAATCTCATCTTGCTGGCCGTGAACGAGGGGCTCAGTGTGTTCCTCATCTCTTTCCATCGGTCGCCCTTCAATGAGAACACGTTCTTCCCGAATATAGGGTCTATCTTCTCGTTGATGAAACTGTGATGATCGGGGAAATGGTCGAAATTCTTCACGGCTATCTCTTTGATCAGGTCCGGATCGCGAACCACAACAACTGGCGTGAAACAGTCCATCATGCCGAGGTACCTGGAGCTCGGTCGATGTTTGTAAACGAGCGAACAGAAATTGGGAAGGGACATGCGGCGCGTGAATATCCTCCACGATGAGCCGAGGACGGGCACGGCCCCTACATGGGGAACCCGCCTCTTTCTCCAATAATTGTACTGATGGTGCAATAAAATGACGAATTTGGCGAGGACGATCGCCGTGAGGCCGATGGCCAACAACTTGAACGAAAAAAGGAACGTCGGTGACTCCATCGGCCACCAAGGATGGTTCACGAGCGTACTCTGTCTCTAGTGACTAGGAGGAATGTTATAAATATGGACGAATACATATACGGATTTATCGTTGCACGAGGGACAGAGGATGGAGAGGGGGGGTAGAATGCCTGTGTTACGTCAACCACGTGAACAAACTGCGTTCTTCCTCGTCTCGATATTCTGAAAATATCGTTTTGTAGCAATTGTCGGCCGTCGATTCTGATCCGCGCGGGTGAGAATAATACGACAAAAAAAAAAAAAGAAAGAAAGAAAGAAAGAAAGAAAAAAAGAAAGGAGAGAAGAGAAAAAAGAGGGATAAAAAGAGGGAATTAAAGAGGAATTAAATCGGCAATTGCACAATACCGTTTCGAAATTCTCCCGTTGTTACGCGTTTGATTTTTCGTACGGCGAGTTTTTTCCTCGTAAACAGCAATTCGAAATAACGAAAGATTCTCCACCATCACTAGATATTATATAGATAAATTCTTGCTAATTTTGTTTCCCCCTTTTTTTTTTGTAAAATTAGAAATATCTATACGTGTAAAATATATACGTGTCGGATAAATACTTGAAATTTTATTCGAAAAGTAAAATAATTAAAATCATTGACAATTGTTAAAAAAAAAAAAAAGAAAAAATGATCGTTCAAAATTTCACTTTTCATTATTCAATTAAAGAAAATAATTTTCGTTCAACCCTTCGATTTATCAAATCGAACAACATTTAAGATAAAAATTCATCGTTAATTTAAAAATTAAAAAACGAAAAATAAAAAATTTTTTATCTGTGAAGAAACTTTGTTATTTTCTTTTCGACAGAATATTACCTGAAGAAAGTGAAATCGACACTCAAAGTTTTAGAAATGACTTTTCCAGTTATTTAAAAAAATACTCTTTAACGATAATTAAAAATAAAGCAAAATAAATTATTGTACACACTATTGTAAAAAAACAAATTTCCAAGAAAAATCGTATTCAAGAAATGAAAAAATTGATTTCACTTTCTCAAAAAGATTTCCCATCTTAATAGAAAAAATTATATACTTCGTATATATACGATCAATTATACTTTACATATACACTATATATTATTCACACTAAACTTTCATTAAAATCAAAAATCTTTGGTCTATATACGTATAAATCTCCTTGCAAAATAATGTACGAAGTTTTTTTTTTTCTAATCAAAGTATCTAAAATCTCTCCTTTCTCCCAATCTAATCCAGATTCCTCCAGATTCAGGAGTACAAGATTATTTCTCTGAAAAACGATAAGTTTCTGGCTTTCTTCTCGTTAAGTCTGATCGAAAATCGACGCAAAAGACGAACCATCAAAATCTTGATTTCCAACGATACGTGTAAGGGACGATGTTACCCTTGTTCTTTTCGTAAAATCCAAGCTCATCGGCTCGGGAAAATATTTAGGATCGTGATCCAATATAAAAGAGAAAAACGATATCGCCGGGTTATAAAGTTGCATCATCGTATCCAGTCCCTGGTAACGCGAATTTTCGCGTGCAAACTCGATCGACGAAAATCAAACCGGGGTACTTTCTAAGGGTTCATCGCCATCCCCATATACTCCATCCTCGACAGAGGATTCCTAAGAAATTTCATCGATCTATCTCTTTCCGTAATCTTTCCTGAACATCCAAATGCAGGATCGGCTCGTATAAAACGAAGCGCGTGAAATTAGAAGGCGAGTCAGGGCCATCCGTGTAGAAACCAATCGCTCGAGAAACGATATCGTCCATAGTCATTTTATCGATGGTAGAACTTCTCTTTATTTCTAGCAATAAATGCAGTATATCCGGTCTAACGATGCCTCGTTCCCCGCGCTTCCTTTAGATTGCAACACGACGAAGAAAGTCGATGATTTTACGAATCACTCTGATTCCTAATACCTCTCATTAATCGTGGACACAAAGTCGCATAAAAATTTAATCGTAATAATGTTCGTAAGATTGGCGAAAATATTTCTTCCTCTCGCGAAGAGCTCGTTGTCTCTGTCTTCCATTTCCAATTCAAAAGGCGATAGACGAGATCACGTCGTTGTTGAACCCTTTCTTTCGTGTCCATCGAGGAGGATATATTCGGAATGCAAATAATCCACAAACTGTCGCGAGCAATTTCGAACGTCGATCTCATTTTGCTGATTGTAAAGGAGAGAGAGAATGTTCCTCATCTTCTTCGCCTCTCAGAAAAAAAATACGTTCCTCGTCGAAGATCTATGATCGGTGAAACGATCGAAGCTACCTTCCGGATTAATTGACGGATTCACGGCAAAGTGAAATCCATCGTTCCAACGATATCTCGCGCGTTTGGACGATAATTATACTTCTGCGGACAGAAATGGAAGAACTGGACCAACTAATATTCTTTCAGGATGAAGAATTTCCAAAACGGGCCAAGTCTGAATCGGAACGAGTCTGATGCGAGCCACGTTATTGTTCTTCCAATACGTCTGTTGCTTGGGAAGAACTTCGATAAAATCACGGTGATCAAAGCGATCACCGTTAAAGTAAACACTGACGAGGTCGATAGAATCTCCATCGCACTCTCAACCGCAAATGACTATCGTGCGTGAGCTACAAGGTTATAAATATGAGCCGAGCAATGTGTACAGAGTTTATCGTTGCGGTAGAGGGAATGGTGTCATTATCACGTTGCTCCTCTTCTCTTCTCGTGATACGCTATTGGGTATGCACGAGTAATTTTAAGAAACTCGATGCCCCGATCAAAAAATGGGACAAGCGTACAATGAACTCTTTCCACGGACGATTTTTTTTTTTTTTTCCTTTTCTTTTTTTCTTTTTTTTTTTTTTTTTTTTTGGCCGAACATCGATTCAATTTCGTTTTATTAATGCGACGGGATCGTGTCCCGAATATTTCGATGTTTCTATAAGGTGATTTCGAGTGAAAGTGCATCGAGTGATGCAAATATCAATTTGCATGATAATTTCGTAATAATTTTTTCAATTTTTTTTAATTAAAAGGAAAAATTATTATTATTAATCAAAAGTATAGATGCGAGAGTATATTTGCTTGTAACGGGAAATAATTTCGACGAAGAAAAAATTTTATTGATTAAAGATTACGATGATTTAAAAATTTATTATCATTGCAATTATTTATAGTAGAATATTATGACACGTGATAAGATTTCTAAAAGATAACAATATCTTTTAGATCGATTTTGGTGTAATAATTGTTGATGAAACGTTGTAAGATTTAATAATTTATTGCAATAACAATGTATATGATTAAATATATTAAATATAATTAATTCACCTTACTTTTTTATCAAGATATTGTACGAATAATTTATATACAATCCTCCCCCGATTTTTAGTTTCAAAAAATTGAAACTAAAATTAGAATTTAGATTAAACTTTACCAGAAATACAACCTGTCTTTATCGAATTATCCTTCGCCATCAAGCGTACCTCGATGTTATAAATAACATGTAATAAAAGAAGGTAAGTTTAATTAATTGTTTCTCTTCTCGAAAGTGATCCAAAACCCATCTTTCGGCATCAACGTGAAATCAGCCTTCTTATACACAATGGGATGCTTGGTTCTCTCGCCAGGCTTTATAACGAACTTTCGCAATAGATGAACGATCAAAAGTTTGGTTTCCATCAACGCGAAACGATTGCCAATGCACTTTCTGGGGCCAACCCCGAAAGGTATGTACGCGTAAGGATCGACGCCATTCTTATTCTCACGATTGAATCGTTCGGGATCGAAGTTGTCCGGATCGGGGAAATGCGCGGGATCACGATGGATCGCGAAAACGGGGAACCAAATATTTTCACCGGGATGTATCGTAACACCTTCGTAGCCTGGACCCGCTGGAGGCAAATGGAACTCCTTGGCGCACTGTCTGTCGATTAACAACGTCGGTGGATGCATCCTAAGGGTCTCGGATATCACCATCTCCATGTATTCCATTCCCAACGTGTCCTCGTAAGAGATTTCCATCCCATCGTCCAACAGGCGGTCCACTTCCTCGCGCAGCCTCCGTTGAATATCCTGGTGCAGGGCAAGCTCGTAGACCACGTAACACATCAGGGTGGAAGTTGTGTCGAAACCGGCCAGGAAGAAGATGAACGCCTGCGCCACGATGTCATCGATGGTCATCTCGTGGGTGGATTTCTTCTTGGAATCGGTCGCCCGCATCAGGAGGTGTATCATGTCCGGTCTGACGATGCCGCGTCTCTTCCTAGCGGTCACCGTTTCAGAGATCACTCTCCAGAAAAATTTGGACGTAGCGCGGGACAGGAACGTGAGGCCTGCCATCCTCGTCAGACGCGGGTTCAAACGGAACAGCATGAATTTTATGAAACGAAACGTGCCGGAGAACGTGGATACATCGATACCCCTCTTGTAGAACTCGTTGTCCGGATCCTCGATCGAGTTGACGGTTATACCGAAGGCAACCGTGGCGATCACGTCGTTCGAGTATCTGGTGAACACGCTCTTCGCCTCGATCTCGGAGGAAAATTCCAAACGATCGTGCAAACACGAGACAAAATCGCGGGAACACTTGGACACGAGATCGAACATGAATCTCATCTTGTTGGCCGTGAACGAGGGGCTCAGTGTGTTCCTCATCTCCCTCCATCGGTCACCCTTCAATGAGAACACGTTCTTCCCGAATACAGGATCCATCTCCTCGGTGACGAAGCTTCGATGATCCGGGAAATTGTCGAAATTCTTCACGGCTATCTCTTTGATCAGTTTTGGATCGCGCACGATCACGGTCGGCGTGGCGAAATCCATCACTCCGACGTATCTCGCATCCGGGTGATAATTGTAAATATATTTACAGTAATTGGGGAAACTGACGAGGCGAAAGAACACTCTCCAAGCGGTTCCAAATAAAGGACTTGACCGTACGTACGGAACTTTGTTCCTCTTCCAATAAGTGAACTGTGTGTACAGTATTGAAGTAAGCTTGGCCAAGATGATGAAGATCAAAGTAGTAAAGAGTAACTCGAAAGCAGTCAAATGTGACACTTGCATTGTTACGAAGACACGTAAGAAGTTAGAAACTGACTGTTCAAAGAATGTCGTGAATGGTAACAAATTCTCCTATATAATGGAAATGGACAAGGAGGGAGAGCAAAAATTTTGCAGGAGAACTATTCCGGATAAGAGGGTGTTAACCTCAGATTTTCAGATAACGTGCATTATAAGATTTCCTTTTACAGATAAATGATTTTTAGAAACAATATCAGCTTGAATTTTATAAAGGCTACAGATACGGAAATCAATTAATTCTGTCGTGTGGAATTATCAGATATAGAGGGCATTTGCCTTTCGTATCATAGATCGAATCGAAGATTAATCGTTGAAAGAAAAATAATATGTAACTTTAAACAAAGTTTCTTTAATTTGTAATTAATTATTTGATTCTTAAATATCGTATAAACGATTCAGTGATATAAATCGAAAATAATGCAATTCAATATTTTTTTATGATTGTATGCATACATTTTATAAAAATTATATATTATGTAATTTTATAAAAAAAAAAATTATATTTATATTATTGATAGATGAATTATAATAATTTTGTTACAAATAAATAGTCTGAAATAGTCTAAAATTTAAAAATATTCAAATTCAAAACTTTCTTATGAAAACCTGAATATGAATAAAATTTATATATAAATTTTTATAAATCTATCAAAATTTGTAAATATATATTGTAAATATATATATAAATAACTATTTATAATAAAAAAACGACATTATAAAAACAAGCACAATCAATGATTTTTATGTAGTACGATTATAAATACAATCACTTACCAATGAAGACAAAAATCTGGTGGTGCGAGTACCGTAGTAACATTGAAATGGAGATAGTCTGAAATAATTAAATACATATTATATAGAAAATATATAGAAAATAATATATATATAATATATAGAAAAAATCAATTAAATAAAAAATTATATCATTGTACATTATATTTTTCAATGTCATACATATATTTATATATGTAATATCTGAATATTTAGAATATTTTATCTAAATAATTTAGAAAGAAGAAGAAAAAAAATGTCATATTACATAATTAAATTTTTTTTAATTTCTACAATCTAAATGTTTACGTAAATATATTTTTTATTCGAAATAATAATAATAATAATAATAATATATTATCAATTAATTATAATAATAGTAATTATGATTATGTAATGAACATACAATTTCAATAAATTTCTTTTTTTTTTATGTGAAATATCGATTAATGTGTATCAAAGCGATAATATTTATTATTTCGTAAAAGAAAATTGCAATAAAGATAGGATACGAAGCAAATTGCAAATCGACAGTCGCACTCGGTTACCAGGTTGAGAACGAATAATGCAATTGAATTGCGAATGGTTCAGATTGAACTAGCACCTGACACCCCCGAGATAATTCACTATTTACTATGAGCAACCTTGATAACAGAAACGTTTAATCGTACTTTGCAGATGCGTCAACAATGTTATTTATAAGAAAGGCGATAAAAAAAAAAGAAAATCTCGAATTTCTGAAAAAAAATTGATTTCACGTAAAATCGTTTTATAAATTTAATATATTTTAATCTTCTATTTTGAAAATGAAAACAAATTAATTATTATTTTATAAAATTATTAATATTATATTATACATTTCTTTTTAATATTTTAATATTTCTCGAAATATAATATTTCAATCACTTTTAGAATTGTATACTAATTTCGATACAAATTATTTAAATAGGAAACACGAAAAGACAGTTCAACGTTGAAAAAGATAACCATACTTTTTGATGCTTAAAAATTTTGTTTATTTTAATAAATTTCTTAATAAAAATGATTCATAATTTTATTAAATTTTCTTTAATTTTAAAATAGATCAAATTGTTAAAATAATCTAATATTAATCAATATAATATAAATAATATAATGATATCAAAAAAATTTTAAATAAATATACATACATATATGCATTTTTAGGACATCTTGTATGCGTCATATTGAGATGAATATGACGCACTTTAAAAATATTATTTAAGAAACAATTCATTATAAATTCACTATATATTTTATTCACAACACTGTTGGTTTAAACAAAATAAAGCTTGAATTCATAAATAACAATTTGTAATAATTAACTGAATTTATTAACTAATTTTAACTAATATTAACTAATTTTAAAATTGCAATTATATGTCAGTACTACCAAAGTATATGACTACCAAAGTCAAAAGTCAAATTTATATCGTTATAATTATTATAATAAAAATATTTAATAAACACTTGTGTTATTATATAATATTAAAAATTCTGATATCAAATAAAATATTTGATTTCTTAGCTAAATTATTGATCATGCATTTTAGCATTTTCATATGTACTCTTTATTAGATTCTCAATTGTATAATCAGTACAATAGTATATTTAGCTTTTGCATTTTTGTATTAGTTATATTATTAAAATTTATTCAATTTACTTCTGAATTATTCGAATTGTATTTATTTTTTATTGTTATTTTTATGAAAATAAAAATAAATTTAATTATTTCCAAATATTCTGATCTTTTTTTCAATATATTATATTTTTATCAAATTGTTTTTAAAAAGATAACCTTATTGTGACATTGAAAACAATAAATATATATAATAAAAAAATTTAGATGAATTTAATAAAGAACTAATAATAGTTTTCTATTAAAACAAGAAAAAAAATGCACGATAAAATAAAGGAAAACAAAAAAAGAAAATATTTTCAAGTAAATCGTATTATAGTATAAGATATCCATAGAATGTCATGTGCATATGACAGAGGAAATATGGGATAATATATAGATGTGCGACAGTTCTGTACACGTGACTCTACTGTGGCTTGACCAAAGGTAATCCCAAATAGTATCCCAAGCACTGAAGTAACATTCACGTGTTATGGCACGAGATTCATTTCTCATTTCAGACATTTTTAATATTTCATATGAAATATTAAAATTTTATAACATAATTTTATAATTTTATAAAAAAAACAATAGTTTCAATATTTCGTTCAACATAGAAAAAATTAATTTTCAAATAAATTGTTGTTTTAATTAAATCATAATTATACTAAGAATTACTATACAGAAAAAAAAAAGAAAAAAAATCAAATCATGATCATAATTATATCAAAATATCATAATTATAATTTTAACAACATTAGATTAATTATAATTCCTAATGCCTTTTTTAAAAATCTATATAATTTAAAATCATTACAAATATTACAAAAAAAATATTATATATTAAATATTATAAAGTAATATTTATTCAGTCATTAATATAACAATATTAAGATTAATTATGAAATAAAAAAAAAGCAATTGAAAAAAATAAGAAAAAAAAATTAAATACAATGTCCAATTATATAATATATAATTATATATATATAATATATAATATATAATTGGACATTGTATTTAATTTTTATATATATATATATATATATATATATATATGTATATAATATATGTTATATAATATAATATTCATTTATATAAATACAAAAATTACTTTAATGAATAATAAATAAATATTTTTCCGTTTCATATTTGAATTTTTCTCCTAAAATTATTCATGCATAAAATAATTGGCTTTTCACTATACCTAGATATGAACTAAATGTAGACTTCCCCGCAATGCATTGCATTTGAATCGCGGTTAGTAGTATGCAATATTACTCATTTGTTCGCTCGGCGTAAACCCATTAAACACGAGTGGAGCTATTCGTTGGTCCGTATATGATCCAATCACTTCCTAACACCCGGGGAATACCCCGAAATTTCACAATCCATCAGACATGCGTACTGTTTATATTGAAATGCAACTACCAATGAAACATTGACGCAAATCACTTATTCAATTACAAAGTATAAGTTATGTTACCTTTTAACGAAAATTGTTTTAAATAGCATTTAAAAAAAAATTGATTATAAATTTTATCATTTTAAACTTATAATTATAGATTTCAAAATTAATATTTTTAACATTTATCAATTAAACAATTATTTATAATAGTAATAATCATTATTGATTTGAAACCCAAAATTTCTAACAATTATTATCTTTTATTAGTTGTAATAAAACATGCATTTGAGAGTAATTTGATACAAAATGATCAACTTGGGATTTCTATAACGAATATGAGACATCTAATAAAGTTGATTTATATCCAACTATTCAATTCCAAAGGGATCACAAAATGTGAAGGTACAAGAGATTGGAGAGTTATACGTGAGTTATCTCAGTGCATGGTTACTTTGAATTGATTGCCATATCCTTTTACATACTATATGAATATATATGATAGCAATCACTTAACAGAAAGAATATATATGAATTGAAAACATATAATATATGAAACTAAATCTAATTTATATCATTCTAGAACTATAATTATCATTATAATGTTATAATGATATTATAATGATATTATGATATACAATACAATGATATACAATAATTCAATAATATAAGTAATATAATTTTTCATTACATAAATAATAGAAAGAAAAATTTAATTTAAAAAAATTATTGAATTTCTAAATTATTAAGTTATACATCTTAATATTTAAATAAATAAAAAATTAATAATTACTTTGTTTCATAAAATATTTAATATTCGATCCTAATAAAAAAAAAAAGAAATTTTAATTTTAATTTTGTCATTTATAGTTCTAAAATATTATTGATAACTGAAATCCATACATAAATTATATTAAACTATTAATTGCTTATTAAAGTATATATACTTACAAAAACTAACATGATAAAAAATGCAGCAAGATATGTAGTTCTAGCCATCCACATGTTTACAAATCGATAATGTTCTCCTGTTACCACATTTCTATAAAATAAAATAAATTTATTATATATAAGAGCAAATAATGTGAACAATAGATAAATAGATTTATTTACCGTAAAAAGCCTTGATTATCTTCATGCTCTGCCAATGTTTTAATGCTTGCCATTAATAAATCATCATATCCTAAAAGTTCATCGAGTATTAATCTTGAAAAATCATCGCCAAAGCATTTATCGTTAACAGGATCTAAAGTAACGATTTTTACAGGAATATTTAATCTTTGCCGTGCTACAGGCGATAATCTCAAGAAACCATATTCTAATGAATATTCTACAATATAACCATCACCTGAAAAAAATTATTTATTTAAAAGATAGTTATAATAGTTATTAAACGCTTTTATTGTTATTTTTAAGTTCTTTAGAAGATACAGTATAGCTTATACCTGCCCTAACTTCAGAATTTGAATCCTTTAAAGGTCGAATAACATCTTCTTTATTAGATTTATTATCTTGTCCTATAGTATTATTCTGTGTATTTGTTAAGGATAGTTTTTTATCTGATATCTGAAATATATTTTCAATGTAATTTAATATAATATATTCCATATAATATAATCAATATTACATTTATATATAAATAAAAATATACTATAAAAATAATATAAATAATATGTAATAATAATAATATAAAATAATATAAATATTTTTTAATTATTTATATTTACTTCTTTATTGTCTACATTCATTTCATTCCAAAGTTTAGTAGGTAAAGAAGGACTTGTTGTTGTATTAGTAATACTTAAATTTGGATCTTGTGTTTCACCAGAAATAGTGGCACTTCGAATAACTATTTCTTTTTCAGACAATGTTAAACTGTCATGATTTTCTTCATTCAATGCATTAGTAGTATCACGTTCTTCATCAACAGCTGATGGTTCGATATTGATAAATCTAATATAAAATAAATATGTAGAAATATTTAATGCTGAAAAGAAATGTTAAAATTTATTATAAATTATATTTTCCCTTACCCATCTCTAGTTAATATTCCTAAAGCACTAGTTAAATCATCAACTTTTTCTTGTCGTAACTTTTCTTCTTTTGCATAACTCTTTTCTATACTATAATCTTCTCCTCCATTTTTAAGTATCTCAACTCTTAATATACCATCACGCGGCCAATCATCTCTTATGTGTTCTAAACAATTAGTTGGTGCTCGTGAAAATACTATATGAATATAAGCCAAAACAAAAAATGCTGCTATAGCCTAAAATATATAATATTAAATTAATTTATATATAATACTCCAATTATTTTTAAAATATAATTACCTTCAATAAAACTATAAATTCTATAAATCTTCTGACAGGTCGTGGAAATGTTCTTGCATAAGTTAATGCAGCCTTAATAAATATTGCATGAAACAACCTATCCCTTACATTAACTAGTGGATTTTGGTTATTATTATTTCTAGCAGTATTCATATTGTTATTATTTAAGGCTGATCGAGTTGAACTACTTGTATTATGATTATTATGTACAGTTGCACTGTTCTGATTATTCGTTATTGGTATTGTAGCACCATCCACTTGTGGCATTTTAAATATTATATAATATTTGTTTTTAAGATGATGTAACAGCTAATAGTTTCTACTCATACAACTTCCATGTATGAAATTTTTTAAAAAATATTTATACATGTTGTATATATACATTTCCAAATCAAAATGAATGAAATATTCTATAAGATTTGAAGTAAATATTCTGAAAAAAATTAGATTATCATATATTATTATATATTCTTATATTTTTATCATTACATTTTTATCTTTTCCATATATTTTATAAATATAATAAATTTTAAATTAAAATATCTAAACATAATTAGAATAAATAGAATATAATATTAAAAACTTGTTTTATTTCTATAGTTAAAATTGTAGTTAAAACAGAAATTTATAATATACATTAGAAGCTTTTTTATTATTATTATATATTTCATAAATATAATTACTATTTTTATATTTATTATAAGAAAATTATATTAAAATACAATTTGAATTTGTATATTATAAATTTTGCATATTAAATTCATTATTAATAATTTCAACTACAATTAATGCAGAACATAACCTATAGCATTGCATGTATCATAACCTATTTAACAATTACATCATATATTGCACAAATAAATAATAATACTTACAAATAATTAATATAATTTATACACAAAGTGTATTTGTTTTCTTTTTTATTTTAAATTATAATTAAGCTTTTTTTAATTAAAAAAATAAATAAACGTATCAATTATATATTTTGTTATGTAATTAAATAACTCAAAAAAAAACAGCAAATATATATTGTAAGTGAATTTAAATAATATTACTAAATGTATTTTTTATAAATAAATATTTTTTTAAATTAATTATTATTCACCGGACGTGACATTTCACAGCTGGTATACGAATTTGTAAGTTTTTGAGATATAAATCAACTATATCGTACCTTTTTTTAATGTTGAATATCGTACTATAACGTTATATTTCTAATGTTTTATCGGTCCTCTGCGTGTCACTACAGATAATAATAGATTTATAAGAATACAGCTTGCAAGTATTAACAACTTGATTCTCGTGAAATTGTCACTTCATCATCATATGTTTTGATATTCGACAACTTGTATATAGTAGTCCTCAAATATTACAGTATGACCAACATAAATTTTAAAAAATCACTAGTTTTTAGTATCATCTAACTTTTATTGGAACTTTGTTAATCAACCAGTAAAACAGTTTAAACAATAACATAAAATTTGTTGATATTTTGAATTTAAATAAAATATTTAAATGATAAGAATTATTTTGTGAAAGTATTTAATTTTCAGGATTATAATTATAATTTGAGAATTAATTTTATAAAAAAGTATGAAATTAATATAATAACAATATTAAAAATATAATACATTATTCAATAATTTAAATAAGAAACATATTATAACATAAATATGAATTCTCCAAGATCACCACAAACTCCTCTTAGTTTTGAATTGAAGAAAATTATAAATGATAGAAATATTTTAAGTATGCGTAGTCGTATGAAAGGTGCATGTAATTAATAATTCAATAAATTAAATTAAAATTTAAGATATTTATACAGATAATATACAATTAATATTTTATTTTTTATCAAATTATATAATATAAAATTTTCAGTTCTCAACAGTTTAAATGAAAGTAATCAAAAACAGTTTGAAGAAAAAGAAAAAAATTTAAGATTCCAAGCTATTCAAGAAATTTTAACGACAGAAGTTACATATTTACGGCAATTAGAAATCTTAATGGAGGTATTTTCTATGGATATTTAATAATATATTTTTCAAAATTCAAAATATGTTATTCAAATATTAAAAATTATGTACTATTTAAAAGTATTATAATATAATAATGATGATGATATAATAATATAATAATATATAATGATGAAAATGAAACATACAAATATATATATTTTTTTCAGTATTTTATACAACCTATGTTTGAAAAAAAATTATTAAATCATAATTTACTTTCAACATTATCTGAAAACATAAAAACATTATATAATGTTAGTGGAGAATTAATACAAGAATTAAAAGAAGATCCACAAAATATTGCAGATGCATTTCACAAACTTGCTCCATTTTTTAAGTTATATTCTATTTATGCTTATGATTATGAACAAATTTTATTATTATTACAGGTATATATTATTATATTATTAATTTATTAGTTAAAAATTATTTCTATGCAGATAAATTTTTTTTAGAATAAACAAGAAAATGATATTGAGTTTAAGAATTTTATTAGTAAACAAGAAACAAGACCAGAAGTTGGCAGAAAATTACCTTCACTATTAATTACACCAATACAAAGGGTGCCTAGATATAAATTACTCTTGAAAGAAGTCTTGCAACATACATCTAATAAACATAAAGAATATAATCTTTTACAAGGTAATTTTAAAATAATTGTAAAATACTTATAAAATATTTTTTAATATATATATAATATATATAATATTATTTCAATATTATATATAATAATATTATTTTAATATCAATTAGAATAGATATCAATAGATATAATAAATTGATTGTTTTCATAGTATGTTTAGTAGAAGTTGAAAAAGCTGCAAGACATATAAATACCTTCATTGAACAATATGAAGAATCACAAAAATTACTAAAACTTCAAAAATGTATTATGAACCCAATTAATTTGGTAAAACCTGGTAGAAAATTGATTAAACAAGGATCATTAATGAGAGTTTCGAGACGTGGAAGTTCTGTATATAAAAGATATTTTATTCTTTTGAATGACATTTTATTATATTGTAAAGGTGATCCAGAAAATTCTTTGACCGTATGTTGTGTTTTACCATTAAATAAATGTAAAATTGAATCAGTTTTGAGTGGTGGATTATTTCGTGTCATTTGTTTAAATGAGACACTCTTATTGTATTCTGAGAAAGATGATAGTAATTTATGGATAGAAGCAATACAAAATTCCATAAAAAAGGTATTATTAAGAAATAAAAATTTCTTTTATTTAAATATTTATTAAATTTAAAAACTAATCTGTATTTTTTTTTATCTTTTTTTTTATTTTAGTATGCAGAATGTAGGCAAACATTAAGAAAAGATAGCAGTTCAAGAAAACCATTAAGGCATAACAACCTTAATTTATTTCCATCTGAAAATATACCTATAGTTGCTGGTAAAAGAAAAAGATCAAACAAAGAAACTGAGGTGCATATATAATTTTTTATTAATTAAAAAATTTATTATTTTTATTCTAATAAATTTTAAAATTTATATATATAGATTAACTTGGATGCTTCACAAATTATGTATTTGAAAAAGGACAATGAAGCAGATCCAGATATGCAATCAAATAATAGTTGTTTGGTATTCTTAAAAAAATTTAAAAAAATTAAAAATGATAGTGATTCTAAATATATTTCATCTTATAAAGAAAATATTAATCATGTAAGTTTCATGTTCTTAATTATAATTATTAATATTTTTATATTATAATTATAAAAAATATAAATTAAGAAATAATTAATTCAATTTATTTGCAGAAAACTACAGATAAAAATATACATTTTAAAGAACATAGTATATCATGTTTATCTTCTATTCATGCAAATTATAAACAAGAATCATCAACTCTTAAATCTATTAGTGAATTCTTTATATCTATTGGTTCATCTATAAAAGAATTCTTTAAGTTTAATTCTCTAAGATGATATGATATTGATAATAAAATTGATGAAATTATGAGGTAATCATTTAAAATCCAGATATTTTTCCTTAATTTCCTAAGTTATTCAAACTGAGATATTATAAATATAAATATAATTTAATTTATACAAAATATCCTATATATGTATTTAAAAAATACAATCAAATAATTTTAAAATTTCATTTTCAAACTATATATATGTATATCTACATGTAAAATCTAAAATCGTGTATCATTCAAAATAATTTAATTTACTAAATAGAATTTTATTATTTTATCTTCGTTTTATCTTTGTTTTGTCTTCGTATTCTTGTTTTAAATCTATAATTTTGTATACTATTACGTGCGATATTTTAAATAAGTACATATATTGTTACATGTATATATTTAAATTTACTATATATAAATATGTATTTGTATTTAAATTTCTCTAACATTAGCAAATATAAGAAAATAAATAAACTAGATATACAAAAATAAAGTAAATTATCTTAGTCATAAAATTATCAAACAAAACACAAATATAGATAAAATAATATTTATTATTATTGATTATTGTATAAAAATATATAATAATATTTTATTATTGACAGATATTACATTGAATTATTACATTGAATTAGAATAAAAATCCCCAGATAAAACTAAACGAAGACATAATACCGATACCTACAAATGATAAGAGAGTTGAATTTTTTTATCATATAATTAATAAAATATCATTTCTGATTGAGGTAAGATAAAGCTTTATGTGTGTAATATAAGATAAAAAAGATAATAAGAATTTATAAAAACGACAAATAATGAATAATACAAAACAAGTGTTATTCATTCTATATTAAACTATTAAAAATAAAAAAACAGTTATATTTTTTATATATTATATTTTATTTTATATTTATAATTATGATATTAAATTTTTTGATTTTACGATTTAAAATTTTTTTAATTTTATTTATTAAACTATATTTAAAATTCAAATGAGTTTTATAAATATAGGTTATGTTTATGTTATTTAATAAATGAATTCCATATAACAATGTATTAAATAAATTATTTTTTCAAAGTCAAATATAATTTTATAACTTGAAAATAATTAAGGAATATATATTTAATGAAAATAAAATTTAAAGAAATTTATTTCTCATTTTAACAAAAATATGTGTACATATTTATATATGCTATTATACATATAATACCATTTAATATAAAAACATTGTGAATGTGTTTATATATTAATATAATTACATAAAAAATTTTATTTTCTTATTTATAAGTATTAATTATATGCTTATAAATGAAAGATATAACAATTATAAATTATATAAAATATACTGTGAAATAAAGTTTTATGTTTTTTTAAACATATGTTATATATAATAATATATTAAAATATAAAAGTTATTTCAAAGTAACACATATATTCATATCATAAATATCTTTGAATTTTTAGAAATTTATAAAATGATTATATACATGAATATATGCATATATTATAATAATGATATATATTTAATTAATATAATATCAGTAAATATAACAAAAACTCATATATATATATATGTATAAGTAGATAAAATTTAATTAAAATAATATTTATAAATTTTTTTTATTCTTTTATATGAAATTATTATTGATTAAACTTTTTTAATTTTATAGAACACATAAAATATAATTAATTAAAATATATATATTATTTATTATAGCAAATCCATAATATTATAAACATGAATGGTATAATACCTGAAATGGAACAAATCATCAGTCAACTTGAAAGAGGAACTGTAGTAACAAAATTTTTTTCAAGGAAAAGACCAGAAAAAAAAACTCTTATGATAAGAAGAGAAACTAGACAAATTGTATGGTCAAGGAGTGCAACATTCAGACCTTTTGATGGTTCAGGTAAAAAAATCTTCAATTCTCAGAAATATTAAAAATAATTTATAGAATAACAATATTATTCTGTAATCCAAAAATAAATTCACTAATTTACTAATTATGACACATTTATTAAATATTAATTAAAAGAATATAAAAGAATAACAAACATGTGTATTTATACATTCACAAAATACTTATTCTACAATAATTGAAATAAATTTTCACCTAATATTCTAGGCACACATTTTGCATGGTTATGAAGATATATCTACAGCAAAAATGGGCAAAATATTATCTGAGGATACTATTTATAGGTCAAAAACCTGAAGGAAAGGTCCTTGTGAATAATGTATGGGTGAGTTTATAATAAAGGTACAATCTAAATCAGTTAATGACTTGCATCTTATAAGCTTTTATGTACATGTTTTATATCTCATGTTAAATTAAATTAATATTTTTTTCTGGCCTCATTATTTTTAATTTGATAATATTCAATTATATAAATATATATGCATATCTTGGTGGACATTTCCTTCATTTTTGGTCTACAAACAAATGAGCCCATGGATACTGTTGATATATTGGATCAGCCCCATTGGATAGCATGGGTATTTGATTAAAATCAAAAATTTTAATAATTGTGAATGCATTGATTATATATATTATAACAAAACATGCATATGTAATATAATAATTAAAAATATATATATATTTTTTAAAAATTGCTTTTATCTCTACAAATGCATAATATTTAAAAATATATTCTTGCACGTTATATTAACATATTATATATTTTATATGTAGTTATATAATATTGTTTTATTTTTTATTAAATATATATATAAATATATATTTTATATATATTAAAAAATGTATTTGTCTTTTGATTTTAGTTGAAATAAGAGAAATCAAAGAAATTAAGATAGGAAAACATTCTAAAGATTTTGAAAAATGGCCAGAAGATGCAAAAAGAATAGAAAATCTTAGATGTTTTGTTGTATATTATGGTTCTGAATTTCGTCTTAAAACTCTTTCAATTTCTGGTAAATATATCCTTATTATTTATTAAATATTTAATTTTATTATTTAAAATATAATTTTAAATAATATATGTTTGTCTTTTTATATTTTCGTTTTAGCTCTTAGTGAAAAAGAATGTGAACTTTGGGTAAAAGGATTACGTCGCTTGGTTCAAGATACTATAAAAGCTCCTTATCCTTTACAAGTGGAAAGATGGCTAAGAAAAGAATTTTATGCAATGGAAAATTCAAGAGAAACGTAAAAATTATTTTATTTATAATTTTGAATTTATTTATAATTTATAATATTAAAATATTTAATGATTTACATTTTACAGAGTTACTTTAAAAGATATAAAAGCATTTTTACCCAGAGTTAATTGTAAGATAGCAACAAATAAACTCAGAGAACTTTTTCAAGAAATAGATACAAGGAATAGAAATGAACTTGGTTTTGATGATTTTGTTATACTTTATCATAAATTTATCTTTGATCAAAATGTGAGTTCTTGATTTATTAATGTTCTTATTCGAATATTTTGTATATTATATTTTATTTTTTCATTTTTATAGAATCTTACAGATTGGAGTAAATTACTTAATTATTCTAAAACGGGACAGATTGTGACTGTTCAAGAATTCCAAAATTTTTTAATAACTGAACAACAAGATCCTTTAGGAAATAATGAAGTTGAAGTGTCATGTTTTATTAGAGATTATTTACAAGATCCTCAAAGAGATGTACAAGAACCGCATTTTACGTTTTCGGAATTTATTGATTTTTTATTTTCAAAACAAAATTCTGTTTGGGATTCAAAATACTCACGAATCTATCAAGATATGACCAAATCTCTTGCGAATTATTGGATAGCATCATCACATAATACGTAATTACTATTTTTTTTTCTTTCTCTCCAAAAAAATAAATCTAAAATCTGTAAAATATTTAATTAAAATATCTTTATAGATATTTAATGGGAGATCAAATTAGCAGTGAAAGTAGTTGCCAAGCTTATGTTCGTGCATTAAGAACTGGATGTAGATGTATAGAACTTGATTGTTGGGATGGGCCAGATGGAATGCCCTTTATTTTTCATGGACATACATTAACTACAAAAATTAAATTTTTGGATGTTATAAAAACCATTAAAGAACATGCTTTTGCTACTTCTGAGTAAGTACTTAGTAATGTCTATTAAAGTATTTATCTCTAAAAATTAAAAGCATAAATATATTTTTTGTACAGTTATCCTGTTATTTTATCTATTGAAGATAATTGTACTTTACCTCAACAACGTAAAATGGCAATTACAATGCAAGATATATTTGGCGATATGTTATTAGTTCAATCTATAGATAAAAATGAAACTTGTTTACCATCACCATATGCACTGAGAAGAAAAATTATATTGAAACACAAAAAATTACCTGATGGCGTTGACGAAACATCATTTCTTATTCGAAATGATGAAAGTAGACAAGAAATGGATCTTAGAAATACAGTTAAAAATGGCATTCTATATCTTGAAGATCCTGTTGATAGAGAATGGAATCCACATTTTTTTGTATTAACGCAACAAAAATTATTTTATACAGATACATTTTCTAGAACCCAAGAAAACGAACATGATGATGATGAAGAAACTGTAATTCGGCGACCAACTGATGTATGTACATTTTAAATTTTAAATAATGTTATTTTAAATAAATTTAAATAAAGTTGTTAAATTTTATTATATAATTAAATTAATCGTTGATTATAATATAGGGAGTACCAAATGATGAATTACATTTTGGAGAAAAATGGTTTCATGGTAAATTAGCAAGAGGAAGAGAAGAAGCAGAAGAATTATTACGACGTTATTCACATCTTAGCGATGGAACATTTTTAGTTCGACAATGCGTTACATTTGTGGGTGATTATTGTCTTTCTTTTTGGCGCAAAGGCAAAGTAAATCATTGTCGTATTAAACTCAAACAAGAAATGGGACAAACACAATATTATCTTATTGATACAAATTGTTTTGATAGTTTATATAGTTTAATTACATATTACCGCAGTCATCCATTAAGAAGTCAAGTAAGAAGAAACAATATTTTAAGTAATAATTATCTTTGTTGTTTTTATAATATTGTTTTATTGATTTACAAATATTCTAAATAAAACGAATAGGAATTTTTAATCACACTTCAAGAACCAGTTCCGCAACCAAATAAACATGAAGAGAAAGAATGGTGGCATGCAGAATGTACTCGAACTTTAGCTGAAGAAATGTTAAAACGAATTCCTACAGATGGTGCATTTTTAGTAAGACCGAGTGAAAAAGAAAATAATTCTTATGCTATATCCTTTAGGTAAAATATTTTAAAATATTAATTAATATACTTTGAAGTTTTATTGTTTTTTTTCCTTTTTTTTACATCATTTCAGAGCAGAAAATAAAATTAAGCATTGCAGAATTAAATTAGAAGGGCGTCTGTATACTATTGGTACTGTGCAATTTGAAAGTTTGGTTGAATTAGTTAATTATTATGAAAGACATCCATTATATAAAAAAATCAAATTAAGTCATCCTGTAAATGAAGATGTTATTAGAAAAATAGAACTGGTATATAGTACATTTTATATTTTTGATACTAAATAATTTTTTTGACATATAAATTTGTCAAATTTTTTTATTTCATAGGATATAGATGATGGATCTGTTTATGGTATTCCTGGTTATATGGATCCTACTAGTTTTACTTCGAAAGTAAGATTTGAAATAATTCATAAATTATATAAAAATATTATATAAAATAAAGTAATGAGTTATATAAATAAGATAATAATAAGATAATGAGCTATATAAAATCTAAAAAACTTAATTTATTTTAAAGGTAACTGTAAAAGCTATATATGATTATAAAGCAAGAAGGGATGATGAATTAACGTTAGTAAAACATGCTATAATAACAAACGTACATCGACAAAGTGGTGGTTGGTGGCGAGGAGATTATGGTGGTAAAAAGCAACATTGGTTTCCTGCTAGTTATGTAGAAGAAATAAAACCGCAAGATAATCAAGGAGATGTAAATTATTTTATTTTATGATTTTAGATATTATTAAATAAAGCATTAAATATAGTTATATATTATTTTATTTTTATTTTCAGTCAGCAGATTCTATGATGTTTGGTAGTCTACAGAAAGGTTCATTAGATATTATGGGTGCTGTTGTTGAATTAAGAGTAGGAGGAAGACCTGATTTAAAATGGATATTAAGAATACAAAATCCTAGTATGTGCTCAGTATTTGAAGTAGCAACTTCTTCAGAAGATACAGCATTAGAATGGATGTCCAGTATTAAAGAAACTGCTCAAAATGCCAGTGTCAGAGTAAATTTATAAATTTTTATATTTTTAAAGAAGTAGTAATAATTTGAATTTAAATAATCACTAATTATTATAACATTTTTATATCATATAAATCATTTTTTTTTTAGGAGAATCAACATAAAGAAATGGAACGTGCATGGAGAATTGCTAAAGAAATGTCTAATCTAATAGTTTACTGCAGATCTGTTGCATTCAATTTAGACAGAATAAAAACAAAAGGTTTTACATTTAATGAAATGAGTAGCTTTCCTGAAACTAAAGCTGAAAAACTTATGTGTCAACAAGAAAACAAATTTTTTATAAAATATCATCAGGTAAATTACATAAATATAAAATTTAATTTTCAAATTAAAAAAATAAAGATATTTACAATTATAATTTTATAGATTCAATTTAGTAGAGTATATCCTAAAGGACAACGAATTGATTCATCAAATTATAATCCTGTACCAATGTGGAATGCTGGTTGTCAGATGGTAGCATTGAATTATCAAACTGGTGATAAATCAATGCAACTTAATCAAGCCAAATTTAAAGAAAATGGCAATTGTGGTTACATCTTAAAACCTGAATTTATGTTTAGAGATGATTTTAATCCATATGATAAGAATTGTTTATATGGAGTAGAATCACTTAAGTTTTTTTTAAAAGTTATTGGTGCAAGGCATTTAATTCGATCAGGAAGAGGTATAGCTAGTCCTTTTGTTGAAATTGAAATTATAGGAGCGGATTTTGATTCTGGTACAAAATTAACAACAAGAACAATACGTAAGCATGGAAATTTTATATATTAAAATATTTTGATATATGGATAATAATTAAATTAACATTATAGCTGATAATGGATTCAATCCTATGTGGAATGAATCCTGTGAATTTGAAGTTTTTAATCCATATTTCGCATTCATACGATTTGTTGTGCAAGATGAAGATATGTTTGGTGATAGTAATTTTATTGGACAAGCCACTTATCCTGTATGTATATTATATAAAATCATTATTATTTTTAAATTACTATTCAAATATTTTTAATTCGTAATACGTTAAGGTGCGATGTCTACGATCTGGATATAGAAGTGTTCCATTACAAAATAATTATAGTGAAGACCTTGAACTCGCATCATTATTAATCCATCTTCGAATTATATCTTCAGTAAGTATAAAATTCTATTTTTATTATTCTATTCAATTCTATTATTTTTTTAAATGTATTTTTTTCTATTATAAATTATAAAATCTATGATCATTATAGGTACATTCTCATAATTTGTAAAATAATACAAAATTACAAGTTTTGAAGTCTATTTGAAGATGCACATTAAAAATGAGATAGGTAATAATTCAAAATAATTCAAAATAAAATAATTATTTATTTATAATATTATGTATATAATAGCATTTTATATAAATTTTATTGTTTTAGATTATCACTTAATATGAATATTATTAAAAAAAAATGATATATTTTAATCAAAATTTAAAATCAATTAAAATATTGCTATAGAAGACTGCTTACAAGGATTTAAATTTTAAATGAAATCAATATTACAAAGAAATATATTTTTTTCTTTGTAACATAATTACATAGATAATTCAGAAATATTATATGAACAAATAATATAAAAAGAAAATAATTGCTACAGTATTGAAAAACTAGATATTAAACAAAATTAAATATGAAAAACTAAAAAATGTAATATTTTTAAAAAATTTTTAAAAATGTGACATATTAATGAAATATTTGTAATATGAAAAGATTTTAAAGAAATTTCTTTTGTTAATATATACTATTATTTAATTTATAATTCATGTATAAGATATATATGAATTATGAAAAAATTAATGTGATTTTTTTTTTTTTTTTTTTTTTTTTTTAATAAAAAAATAGCATATATAACACAAATATATCAAATACATCTTTAAATTGTTATTATGGATATATCTTTTTTTTTCATTAAGTTTTTATTAAAAGTAAAAAAAAGTAGATATAAATAATCTTAAACTGCATTTTAGACTGAAATAATATACACAATACGCTTTTAATTTTTTTCATTAGAGAGATATTTCAATATGAATACTATTTATTTATTATTTCAAAGATACATAATAATATAGAAAAAATTAACAATAAGAGGCTGATTATTAAATGAATACAAATACTTGTATTACTTTTCATATCAAATTATAAATTATGGTTTATATGAAACAAGATATAAATCTACGTATTGTCAGGTAATGTATCATAAAATTATATAATTTTTTTCTAACAAATATTATAAAAAATTATTGTTTTCCATTTTTTTACTTTTTTTTATAAACTATATATATATATATATATATATTCTAAAAAATTTTTTATCGTGTTGTTCCTATTAATTACAACATAAATTTTTATATTTAAAAATAGTATTATTGTAATCTACTTGTTCTCTCGAAACAAGACATTTCAAACAAGAAATTAATAATAAATATGAAAATTTTTAATATATATAATAATTTTTAATATAATTTTGTATGATATTTGTATGGTTAAGCACATATTCTTATATTCTTTATGACTTTGTATTATGAATCATAGTAAATAATTTTATTTTGATTTTAATGAGATTTAATTAATGTGTTATATTTAGAAAAATTTTTAATTATATCTTTATTTTATAATTGATGATTCAAATATATATAGAGTGTCTCAAAAATATTAAAACATTCGTAAACAAAAATGAGAATTTCAAGCAACATTCTTTTTTTTTGCAAAATTTTTTGTTATAGGTTTATTAATGAATTATTAATAAAAAATCATTAGCAATCATAAAATACGTAATTTAGTTGAACCGCAATAGTAATGTTAACTTCGTCGATCAAGCACAAATACAAGCAATATATATCGTAAAAAATATGTTAAATATGAGATATAATATATAAATATGGATATTTTATCGATAAAAAATTACATCGAATTATATCAGAAAAAAACTATAATATTCAATATATCTTCTTCGACATATGTTGGACTTATTCGTGCTCGGTAACCGATACAACTCGACTAAATTACACACTCTGTGATTAGTCAATGTTTTTTGTTAATAACAAAAGCCGTAACGAAAATTTTTGCAAAATGTTGTTTGAAATTTGAAATCTCCTTTTACGGATATTTTAACATTTTTAGCACATCTTGTATAAAACATAACAGCAATGCTATTGGTTAAAATGACATATGTAGTAATTAAGATAATAAATTATTCTAATATATGCATATGAAAAATACATATTGATATATTATGTATATTAGATGTAATTAATGTTACATATAAACAACTTTTAAAAATAAAAAATATAAAGTATTAAATATATTATTATTTATTTACTTATTTGTTATATATATCTTGTCATATATCTTATTATCTTTTATCAAAATAATTGAACATAAAATTTTTTTTACGCGATATCAAATAATCTTAGAATTAAATACAAGTATATTTCAAGTATATATATTAAATAAATTAATGCTGAAAATATATTCTTTTTTATTCCTAATTTCCTTATTATTATTAAATAATCCTTATTTACCTAATAAATTAATAAAATTTTTTTTCGTTTATTTTTTTAATACGAGTATTTTCAAAGATTTTTTTTATAGAATTTTTTTTAATTATGTAGGTATTAATATTTAATATATTTGATTTATATCTTTATTGCTTAATGTCAAATTAAAACAAACAATTTATTAAGTATATATTTTATTAAATGAAATATGACAAAAATATAATATTAATATACAATATTAATTCTAAATGTAAAATTTTGAATAACTAAAAAAAGGAGTATGTTTATCATGGATTAAACTTATATATAGAAAAATTGAAAACATGAAATTTTAATTTATATGTCTTTTTAACTGTAATAAACGAATTATACACTTTGTTGAAGATATTGATCAAACAAAAATATAGATAAATGACTACTACTTTCATCAATGAAACGTTTCATATCCCTTATATGACCTGCTAATTCTCGAACACGATCTGCCTGTGGTTCTAAAAATTTCTCTTCAATATAATGAGCAATAGCAGAATCTTGTTTTTTACTTGCTTTTTCATGTATCTTTAATGCTTGGTTTGCAAATGATTTTTGAATTTCAAGTGCTGTGGCTAAACTTGCAAATTCATTCAATTCTAAAGTTTTTATCATCTAAAAAAAAATATGAAATTAGTAATATTTCTTTTTTATTCTTATATTATAAATAAATAAAATATATAAATACAGGAGTAAACTTTGGCTCTTGTCCGAAGTTCATTGAACCACCTCGTTTAGTAATATATTTAATTAAATCAATTCCATTCTCCCACATTTCATCAGAATATTTACGATATAATTTCTTAAATCCTTCACGTTGATTTTCATAATTTCCCAAATAAGAAGACATTAATAAAAATCGAAAACTATATTCAATATTACCATATGCATAAGATTGAAGAGGTACTAAAAGTTCATGAATATTTCCATATGTTGCATTACAATTTGATTCAATACCTAAATATAAAAATTTAAATATTCTATATATTTTTATAAATACAAAAAAATAAAAATTTTTTAAGAATAAAATTTATTTATTTTCTAAAATATTAAATATTTTTGTATATATTGCATTACACACCTATCTCATGTTTTTTTGTAGTACTGCAAAATTTGTTCACTTCATCAGTGCAATATTCAGCAGAGGTAGTTGCCAAAAATATGAATAATATTCCAAAGAACAACATGTTTTCTGTGCTATCAAACAATAGATAAAACATAATTAATGAATATTTATATAATTACATACTTACATTAATTATATAAATATATTTATATTTATGCCAATTAAATAATATATTTAAGAAATTAACTTAAATATTTAACATTATTTAAAATTATCTAACATTAATATTAGATTTTCTATTTCTATTTTAATATAATTCGTTAATAAAAAATAATATTTTTAATAATTTCTGTGTATTATATACAGACAAATGAAATAATAACTATATTGTTAAATTTTAAATAACATACAATTGTTTATATACTTATAAAAATGTATTAAATTAATACTAAAAACGGATAATAAAAAAAAAATGGAAACTCATTTAAGAATTAAAAAAATTAATATAAATTAATATCCATTAATATAAAAAAATTATACATTTTTTGCATCAAAGAAAAATTGATATTATCTATAGATATCAGATATATTGCACAATGATATTTTCATTGTATTGAAATACGCAATATTTTACATCAAATAAAAAAATTATGTTTAATAAAAAAATATATTCTTCGCAATTGTATTAGTCTCATCTTCTATTTATATATCCAATAGATATAATTATAATATAAAAAACTGAATTTAAATTATTCATTATTATATACTTACTAAAACGATTAAAGAGAACTTATTTAAGGGAAGTAACGTGAATACTCTCGTTTCGACGTTCTTCCAACAATGAACATTGAACAACACGTTCGTTGGTAGTTTTCACGAAGTCATAGTCAGCTGATAGGTAAAGCGCATGCGTGATAAGAAAGAGAATAGAAAATTCCAGTTACTCCCCGTCGATTAAAGTACGAATGTACATTTGTTGATCAATTATTAAATGATCGATGGTCGTACATTATATTTAGTTCACGCACATTCTCTTATCTAGCTTCATTAAAGCAGCCTTCTATACCAGTGTGTATAAAGGTTGCTTCCGAAACAGGGAAAATTAAAAGCACTCTCGCGAATTTTAAAATAATAGCTTTTAATAAATAATTATTAATAATGAAGCTACTTTATGTTCTTCTTATCGTTTTCGTTTACATCAATGGATCACTAGGAAATGACAGTGCAACAAGATCATGTAAGTTTATCATTTATTTTATAATATTTATTCTAAATACATTTATATGAGACATCTATTGAGGTTAGCATGCTATTTTTCAGTAGATTTTATTGTTCCCTATTCTTTCCATCTTTAAATAAACTTCTGTATTTCTAGAAAAGATATCAAATATAGAAATAAGTATTTATTAATATAATTATATTTAAATCAATATTTAATGATATAAAGATGTTATAGATATAATTTATTTGTGTTATAATGCAATAACTTAATGCGTATATTCTTTATAAACAACTTGTTTTTCTCAGAATGAATATATCATCAGTTCGCGATATATTAAAGATAAAATTATAATCTATTTCGAATAACAATGTTAGAAATAAAATGATCTTAATAATAAATATTAATAATCCGAGATTATAGATATTAATTTTAAAATTATTTTAGTATATAAATATATATTTGATACCTTAGATATTTTAAATTAGAATTGCATGTAGTTACAAAAGAAAATCATATATATTATACATTATATTACATTATACATTATATTTTTATAAAATATAAATATAATTTTTAGTGTAAGGCAATTCATGCATATTTTCTATTATTATGAAATATAATCTATATTTGAATATTATTTTCTTTATTTAGATTTATCACATTAAACAGTTTACTTTATTAGTCATAATATATTAATCATATAAGATAAAAAATATTGGAATTTCCGTAAATTAGAGATCTCTGAGTAATTTTAAAACATTTCCTTTGTAAAAACTTTCATTACAATTTTGTTAATGAAATATTAACAAAAAACACTGGATTATAGAACGTATGGTCTAGAACCACGATAATGCGTTGGCTACATGCCGCCAACCAAACATGAATAATCCAAGCAATATATGTTGTAGAATATATGTTGAATATGAGATTTAATATAAATATAAATATTTATATAAATATGAAGAAAACTACAATATTCAAAATATCTTCAACATATGTTATTTGAACTTGTTCATGTTCTGTCGCCGGCACATAATTTATGCTATTCTCACGTTTCGATTAAGCTATGTGCTCCATGATTGGCCAGTGTTTTTTGTTAATAACTCATGAACAAAGCCATAACGAAAGTTTTTATAAAGAAAAATGTTATTTGAAATTATTCAGGAATCTTCAGTTTACGGATTTTAATATTTTTAGCACATCCTGTATATTATTTTATTATCATTACTTGCATTTATTAAAAAATTTTTATACAATTTTATATAATTTTATATAAATTATTAAATATTATATGTTTTAAATATATATTTATAATGTTATTTCTATATTATTTTTTAATTTTTTTATTTATTGAATTATTTATTATATATTGCATGTATATATATTTCTCTGTTTCATGTGTTACAATAAATATTTCAACAAATAATTTAGAATCATCTTATCTATGTAATTTCTATATTTAATGTGAGATATTATACATTACTCTATTGACCTAATTGAAGATTATCAAATTATCACTTTATATGCATGGATAACGATAAAATTCTAATATAAAATCATTCTTCATGATTTATTATTATTAATAATTATCAATATTATAATCATATATCAAAATAAAATTTTTTGATATTATATAAAATTTATTAATAAAATAATTTAATAAAAAATAAGTTTTAATTTCTTATTATAATGTAATAATTTATATTATTTTTATGTAATATTATTTTATATATATTTCTATATTATTATATTATACTTATGTATACTTTATATACTTATGTATTTGTAATTTTTTTATTTTTAGGAAATTTATTAACATTACATATATATTTGATTTATAATTTTTACACTTCAGAATAACTAACAGAATTTCATAATTCTAGCCTGTTAATTACTAACCATTATTGACAATCTTATTTGTACAATGATAACATTTGATAAGCTTTACGTGACAATATAAACGTATTGATTACTGCATATTCTAAAGTCCACACTCAATATGAGTGTACTGTACATATTGTTCGGAGAAGTCAGATAATTTAATCAAAACTACTTTATATCATCAACTTCCTTTTCTATTGTCACAAAGTAGATTTTTATTTCTATTTCAGATAGAAATATTCAGTTCTCATTTAAACAATTTTTTTTAATTTAATTTTTTGTTTCATTTCTTTATTATTCTTATATTATATAATTTTAAATTAATTCACTGAATAATTATATTAAATTATCAAGAAAAATTAAAAATATTATTGAAAATTAATAAACATCTTTTATATATGCAACAGAATTTTTATCTTAAAAAGTTTTATTACATTTAATAAAAAAAAACTAGTTATAGTTATTTTATCTATTTTTAATTCCAACATTTTAATTAATTTAATAATATTGCATTTATATTATAATAATATTTTAATAATAATATAACATATTTTCTGAAAATATTTATTACTTTATTTTTTTTGAATCTTTTTATGTATATTATATCATTTAATACTTTAATAAATAATATATATTATTATATTTTTTTATCAATAATGAATTTTATTTTTATTAATATTAGGTATAGTAGGTAATATAGCTGCTGATGAAAATGCGACAAAACATTGGTTGGATATGGATAAAAATTGTATTAAAAGTTTGGAATCTCAGGTGAATGTTGAAATTAAAGCTGCAATGACTTATCTTGCAATGGTAATTAAATTTTTTCCTTTATTTTATGATGTATTTTATGTATTAATAATATTGCACTTATTTATTTTTTATTTTTTTTTTTAGGGTGCTCATTTTGCTCTTGATGTAATTAATCGACCTGGATTCAGCAAATTCTTTTTTGAATCTGCTACAGAAGAAAGAGAACATGCAATAAAAGTTCTTGAATATTTATTAATGCGTGGTCAATTAACTAATATTAATGAGGATAATGTTCTTTTAAGATTTCCTTTGGTATACATTTAAAATATATTACTATTTCAATTTATGCAATTTATGTATTATATTATGTAAATTTTAATTCAATTATAGAATTAGATATATATATATAAAAAATATTTAAATATTATTTTTTTTAGGAAGCAGAGATTGAGAATTGGAATAGTGGTTATAAAGCTTTGAAAAAAGCTCTTAAATTAGAAACAAGTGTTACAAAAAAAATTCGTGAATTAATTAAAACATGTGAACATCCAAATGACTTAAATTTAGTTGATTATCATGTAAGTTATAATATTATATGTTTTAAATTTATTTTACTTTAATAAATTATTTAATTTCAGTTGGTAGATTATCTCACTGGAGAATTTTTAACTGAACAATATAAAGGACAGCGTGATCTTGCTGGTAAAATTTCATCTTTAGGTAAAATGATACAAACACATGGAATGTTAGGAGAGTTTCTATTTGATAAAAAACTTTTAAACAATGAAATTTAATTTGTATTTGAAGCAAAAAAAAATTTACTTTAATAAGTAAAATTATGACCATATTTAAAATAAAGTATATAACTTCGTTTGATTTAATTTTAAGTTAGTATGTGACATATAAATTTTTTTCTGCATAAAATATTTTTCTAAATATGGTCTGTAAAATAGATATATAAAGAACTCTGTTTATAAATGTTTGTTAAACTATAATAATTATATTACTCTTACAAAATAAATAAATATTTTAAGATTCATACAAATATTGTTTCAATTTTTTATTATTATTCTTAAATTAAATAAAAAAGATTTTTTTATAATGTAATGTTATCTATTTATGACATTTTCATAATTAATAATAAATTTTAATTTTTGTGAAAATTTTGTATATTCATTTTATTCAATTGCAATATATATATTTAAGAGATTAATGAAAAAGATTTATTATAACTTTTACATAGATTTTATATTAATATTATTAATAATATTATTTGTAAAAAAAAATGTATTAAAAATGTTTTAATAAATTTATTAATTATTATGAATATAATTATTTTTAATATAATTAAAAATGTTTTAATATATGTATAATGTATAATATTTAATTTTTTTAACCTCTTATAATAGAGAGCGCTGTTAACTATGAATTTTTATTTTTTAATGGAGTTGACTATCTTGTAATCTTTTTCATACATGTGATTTAGACCAATCAGAAGAACGAATGCTCAAATTCGTTATTTTAAAATTGAACTGAAAGTACGACGTGTTTGTAGCTTATATTTTAATTTTTAAACGTATGTATTAATTGTTATTATTTTATATATATAATTATTTGAAATATTTAAATTTAAATATTTGAATTTAAATTATTCTTCTATTGAAAAATATATTATTTATTTTCATAAAATATTAATGAATTATTTTATAATTCTTTAAATAGTAAATTACTTTTTTATTTGAGTATTGTTTATAAAATGTAGAAATATTTTATAAATTTTTATATAATTTTTTATGTGATAGATTGATTCAATAAATAATTTTTAAATTATTATTTATATTATTTTTAATTATAGGTAATATTTGAGGATGCTTAAGGATCAAAGAAGAACAATTTCACAAGTAGAAAATAATTTTAAACAATTAAAGATATCAAAAGTGGCTCCTGTATTAACTGAAAATACATTGAAAAATACAGAAAATTTAGATACTATAAAAAATCAATGCAGTACTTATGTAACAAATATTAAACAAAATAAAGAAAACAATTCTAAAATGTCTACAGAATTGATGCCACCACCTAAATTACCACCTGTATCTTCTAAAACAACAGAACGTATACCAAATGTAATTGATGATGAGAAAGAAAATAAAATTGTCAATAATTTAGACATTGAAAAGAATCTGGAACAAAATATTACAAATAATAAGAAACAAACTGATAAGAAGTGGGTATTAACTGATTTTGATATTGGTCGACCTTTAGGAAAAGGAAAATTTGGAAATGTTTATTTAGCTAGAGAAAAGAAATCAAAATTTATTATTGCTATGAAAGTATTATTTAAAGCACAAATACAAAAAGCTGATGTTGAACATCAAGTTAGAAGAGAAATAGAAATTCAGACACATTTAAGGTAAAAATTTTAAACATTTATATTATAACAAAAAGAAACAATATTATTACAATAATGAAACAATAATGATTTAATTATAAAAATTATAAAAACATTTTAAAATTTATTTAACTTACATTTCATTATATTTATTCATTATATTATGAATTTTTAGAATAATATAAATATATTAATAAAATAATAATATAAATAATATTTTGAATTATATGTTGAATTAAAATAAATATAATATTTATTTTTTTATAGGCATCCAAATATTTTAAAAATGTATGGTTATTTTCATGATGATAAAAGAATATATTTAATTTTGGAATATGCCCCAAATGGAGAATTATTCAAGGAATTGAATGCTCAACCTGAGAAACGTTTTGATGAAATTAGAACAGCAACATATATATCTCAATTAGCAGATGCTTTAAAATATTGTCATAGTAAAAAAGTGATACATCGTGATATTAAACCTGAAAATTTATTACTTGGTATAAAGGGTGAATTAAAAGTAGCAGATTTTGGATGGTCTGTTCATGCTCCTTCCTCTAGAAGAAATACTCTTTGTGGTACTTTAGATTATTTACCACCAGAAATGATTAATGGAAACACACATGATCATACTGTAGATTTATGGGGACTTGGTGTTCTTTGTTATGAATGTTTAATAGGAATTCCTCCATTTTTAGCTAAATCTTATAATGAAACATATATGAAAATTAGGAAAGCTCAATATACATTTCCAGAATTTCTAAGTGAAGGTGCTAAGGACTTAATATCTAAAGTGAGTTCTATATTATATTTATTATATTTTAAAATAATTATAGTTAATAAATTAATAAATTATAGTTAAATTAAATAAAAAATTATTAAATATAAATTTAATTTTAATTCTTTATTTCAGTTATTAATAGTTGATCCAGGTCAAAGATTACCTTTAGAAGATGTTTTAAGACATCCTTGGATTGTGCAAAATCGAACAACAGAACCACATGTATCATAATGTAATTGCTATAAATTATTAAGTTTTATATTTTATCTTATAAAACAATTGTTTTCCTTGCAATAGAAGTTTGATTTGATATCACTAATATTGCAATTATCACATTCTAGATAAGTTTTTAGCAAAAAATCTATTTTAGATATTTTTTTATATTACATAACATTATAATATTGTTACTTCATACACAGAATAAAACATAATGTAATTTGAAATGGTGCATTACGTATTCTTTTTTGTCTTCTAATAATAATAAAATAATTAATAATTTGTCATTTAATAAAATTATTTTTAAATTACAATTTTATAACCAAATAACAACATTCATTGATTGAGTTTTTAATTTTTAAGAGAATTTAATTTTTAGTTATAATTTTATTTATAATATAACTTATTCATATGAAATTGATAGACAGGTAGTGAAGGTATTTTATATTCTATAAGAATATAAGAATAACAATTTAGAATAAAAAAAATCATATATATATTAAATATTTTAATGTTAATAAAAAATATTTTTTGGAATAAAATTTAATTTCTATAAATAAAATTAATATTTCTAGAAAAAATATGATTTATAATTTACATTAAAAAAAATATGATTTATAATTAAAAATTTAATTATAATTACATATTATTTGTTGATAAAAATTTAAATAATTCATTATAAAACATTAAAAAAATTATTGAAAAAAATAGATTTATTAAATTTTTTAAATAATGTAATACTTTATATAAATTTATATAAAGTTACATAAAATAAAATATATAATTCTTTTTGTTTCTAAAATAAAGGAAATCGTATAATTTACCCAAAAATATGTTGAACATAAAATTTATTTGTTTATAAAAATTTTATAAACACATTTTTATTTATAGAAATATTATTAAGATAGTTTTATATTGCATATATTTAGTATTTGAAAATTAAAAGTAAATTTATTTTTTATTTAATAATAGTAAATTAAGATCTAATATTATTATAATTTATTTTCGATCGTCAGAGATGAACACTAAAATGTCTTAACTATAAAAATAAAGTTAAGGTGTATAATATCTATCTTTTAAGTGAGAGTCATCTGCTTAAAAGAACTTTTTAATGGAAGATTTTTTACACATTTGTTTAAGTCTTATTTTTATTTCACGTTTCCATAGGTTCCATAACTACATCTACTATAGGTGTATCTATTGGAGTTTCCATAGGTGTATCATCAGATTTTTTTTTAATTGAATACAATCTTTTTAATTTTTCATAATGTTTGATATCCTAAAAATTAGAATATGTAATATATAATTAATTTATAAAAAAAATGATCGATATTAATTGTGTTTACCTTTTCTTGTACGGACGGTCTTATTTTATCAAACGCAACTACAATATGTCGCATAGAGATTTCTGGTTGTCCCGAATAGTGCATATCCATTAATTCTCTTAATGCTTCTATACCAGCTTCTCTGATTAAAGCAGCTAAATCAGCTCCAGTATAACCATCGCATTTACTATTATATCCTATTTCTTCAAGGTTTACATCTGCAGCTAATTTTGGTTTTGTTGCATTCTATAAATATGGATTTATTTCAAGAGGGAGAAATTTTTAAAAAATATATTTTCAGTCAGTTTATAAGATATTACCTTTGTTAATGCTCTTAAAATATCAACACGATCTGCTGAGGTAGGCAAATCAACATATAAAATTTTATCTAATCTTCCTGGTCTTAATACTGCTGGATCAATAATATCAGGACGATTACTTGCAGCCATTAAAAATACTCCTTGTCGTCCTTCTACTCCATCCATTTCAGTTAACATTTGATTTACAACACGCGAAGTAGCAGAATTATCACCTTCTGATCTCCTGGGACATAATGCATCTAATTCATCAAAAAATATAACACATGGAGCAGAATTTCTTGCTCTAATAAAACATTGTCGAACTGCTTTTTCACTTTCACCAACATACTAAAATAATGAAAACAAATTTTTAATAAAAATAAATAATTGTATAATAATATTTATAATTATTAAAATATTTTTACCATATTTAGTAGTTCTGGTCCTTTAACAGAAATAAAATTAATACCAGCCTCATTTGCAATAGCTTTGGCTAATAATGTTTTTCCACAACCTGGTGGACCACATAATAATACTCCAGTAGGTGTTGTTAATCCTAATGCTGTAAAGTGTTCAGAATGTCGAATTGGTGCCTAAGATAATTAAACAAAAAAATATTTTACTTTTCTCAAATATATTAAACTTTTTGGACCTTTTTAATTATATTAATATAAATGTATTTACAAGTATAGCCATTTGTAATTCTTCTCTGATATCTCGTAAAGAACCAACATCATCCCATGTAACATCAGGTACTGTTGCAAAGCCTTCTCTTTTGGCTGATGGTTGAATAATACGAAGAGCAGTTTCAAAATCACTATGTTCAATACATAAATTTGATAACTGCTCTGTAGGAAGCGGCGGATCATTACGTAACCAAGTAAGTAATCCCGTTAAATCTGGAGATTTAGAATTTTCCTGTATTACATCCATTTCTAAAGTTACTTGAGAACTTTCTGACTTAGGAACATTTTGATCTGAGGTAGATGGTTCAATGGTCACTTCATCCACTAAATTACCAGAATTTTCAAAATTTTCAGTTTTTTTTTCAATAACAGTATTATTTTCTGGAATTTCTGAAGATTTATTATCTGGTACTGATTTTAAGTTTTCGAGTATTCTAATAAAAATATAAGAATATATAACTGAGAGAAATATATTAAAGAAATTAATTTTAAAATATTTATTAAATTTATTACCTATCCACAGCTGCCATAGCTGCTTCTCTAATTAATGCAACTAAATCTGCACCAACAAAACCGGGTGTAAGTGAAGCTATTGTAGATAAACTAACATTTGGAGAAAGTGCTACTTTTTCTGTATGAACAGCTAAAATTTTTGCTCTTGCATCTCTATCTGGTATTCCTAGACATACTTCATGATCAAATCGACCAGCTCTTCTTAAAGCTGGATCTAATGAATCAGGACGATTCGTTGCTCCAAGTACTAATACTCTAGTACCATTTTCTTTTAAACTTAATTCTATTCAATAATACATTTTCTATTTAAAAAATTATTTTAAGATTAGCATAATTAACTATAATCTAATTATAATAATAATTTACCATCTAAACATGATAATAATTGTGCAACAATTCTTCTTTCCATTTCTCTTTGAGCTGTGGCTCTATGTGGCGCTACAGAATCAATTTCATCTAAAAAAATTACACAAGGTGCAATTGCAAGTGCTTGTTCAAATAATTCTCGAATTCTTGCTTCACTTTCACCTGATACTCCTGTAACTAATTCAGGTGCTGCTACTTTCAATAATGGTATACCTAATTCCTAGTTATTAAAAATATAAAATAAATAATCAAATAAGAAATAAATCAATTTTCTAAAATAGTAACTTACTCCAGCAATAGCATGTGCTAATAATGTTTTTCCACATCCAGGTGGACCATGAAGTAAAAATCCTCTTGGTGGAGATATACCAAGTTCTTTAAAGATTTCTGGATGTTTCATATGAGCAAGTAATTTACATACAGTTTTTAAAACTTTATCATTTCCTCCTATGTCTGAAAATGTGATTTTTGGTTCAGAAATTGGTATTCTTTTGGTTTTATCATTTCCTCTTATGTCTGAAAATGTGATTTTTGGATCAGAAATTGGTATTCCTTTAGTTTTCCTTACAAACGTGAATTGACAATCAGCATCTTCATCACGTTGTCGTTTCTTAGCAGATTCTATTGCTGTACTTGTAGTTGTTGTAGTAGTTGTTGTACTTGTTGTTGTTGTTGTTTGTTGTATTTCTTTACTAGGCTAAAAATTAAATTAAAAATTAAATGCAATATTTCTACCATAATAATATTACTTTAATGTAATAAATTTCAAATATTAGTAATTAGTATATTTACTTATACTATTTTAATACAGATTTTATATTAAATTACAATTAGATAATATTAATTAACAAAATTTAAAAAATTAAACAGGAATAAAAAAAGCTTTAAATTTACTCTTCTCAGTTGCTCAACTTCTTTAGCATGTATAGTTTTTTCTGTACTTGAAGATGGACCTGGTTTTTGTTGTAGATTCTCCACAACTTCAGGTTCACTTGCTTTTCTTGAATTTGATTCCATTTTATTTACATCATCATCACTACTAATATCTATAAGTTCTTTATCACTAGAATTCCCATTCTGTTTATTTTGTGATTTTTTATACATTTTTAACAACATTCCATCTAACATAGTATTTTGAGGATCTGACTAAAATCAACATATTTTTCTCAAGATTTAATATAATACATTATATTATGCTTTATTATATTTATATTTATACCTCAAGATCAACTTCTTCCTCTTCATCTTCATCATCATAAGCAGGCCATTCACGAGAACAATATTTTTTTGCAAACATTTCTGTAAGTTCATCATATGCTTTACGTACTAATGCTCTAAAAGGACCCCGTTTTTTAATACGGTAGTCTTTATATTTTTTTTGTAAAGCATCTGCCATTTCATTAACATCAATATAGACTTTATTTTCATTTTCATGCATATACTAAAATAATAATAAAATCATTCAGAAACTTATATAAACTTAATAAATTATAATAAATATTAATAACTTATTATGTTAATATATTATTATTATTTTAAATTTAAAAATAATTTTTCAAAGTAGTTAATAATTATATGATTAAATTTTTCATGAAGTTATTATAAAGTTAAATTCTGAAACATAAAAATATTCAAAATATAAAATAAAATCAGATTTTACTTTTAAAAAAAATATTAAATTCGAATTTTATTTTTAAAAGTTTGTAAAAATTACTTTATATAAAAATATTTTACATATATAAAAAATCGTTATATTATATGTTTTTGAGTTTAATGCATGAATTTAGCGCGCAAATTGTATAATGTAAAAGTGTTTATTTTAATAGACATATTCCATTAGTTAAATTAAAAATATTCTAAATATTATGAAATAATAAATTAAATTACCGTTTGCACACGTGAAATTAATAATTTATCTCGCAAAAATTTATGGGAAGAATCAATTTTGTGTTTATTATTCATGGTTTTTGATTTATAATCTCCACTAGATCCTTGTAATGGAATGATATCAATTGAGGAATTCAATTTTCCAACTTTCTGCATTTTTCTAATCTTTAATGTCTGATATTAATGAGCACTGTTGCAGAAATAATATGATCACTAGATCTTTATTTTTGCACGTTTTGACACGTGTTACTATGTATGCATCATCAATATTCTTTTATCACGAGTGCGTCTTCGATTTTACAAAACTCCAATTCTTCTCTAATGAAAAGAAGAGGGTGTATCAATAAAGCGGGAATAATTTCCCTAGTAAATTATGATAAAAAGCTAGAAATAAATAAAAAGTAACATGAATGTGTTCAAAGATTATTTAAAACTGTTATTACATTATAAAGAATTATATTATAAAGTTTAATAAACTTTAAAGTATTATTTATAATCAAAATTTTAAATATCTATTGCTAATGATTATTTTGCTATTTTTGTCTATCTTCTATATGAACTGTTTGTAACAGATTTAAATATAATTAAAGAAATGAAAATGAGTCGCATATCTGTATTTCAGTTATATAGTACACATGCGTATACTGTGGAGAACGTTTAAGTATTTTACGAAAGCTTCTTACTATAGTTTTCAACTAGTCAACGGCACACCATCATGGCGATGGGTTTTGGTTACGTCTTTGATTTACAGTTAAGAAATTTGGCATAATGGTCTAAATTGCATTTTTTTTGTAATTATTTCTAATATCCGCAAAATTTTTTATTATTATTTTATTTCAAGTACTTTTATATAAATTACAAATTTCATTATGGTAAAATTAACAGAAGAAATGGTCGTGGCTCGGACACGAATGTCTGATTTCTCTGCCGTAAAGAAACTTAATTGTTGGTAAGTATTAAAAAAATATTATATTTTTTTAAATAAGTTGTTCTTTATTCTATCGTTAAATCGTTATCTTTATTCTATTATTATCTATCATTATTACATATATTAACATGTAATTATATTAAAATAATGTATTCAATTTAATCAATGACATTCGTTATTATATTATACTATTTAATTCTTCCTAAGAATCAATATAATTATATTTATATCATTATATTTTTAAAATATTATTATTTTAAAAGAATATTTATTTATTTAATTTTATATTTATTTAATAAAGAATTATTTAGTATTTGCACTTAAAATTGTATAATTAAGTTGAAATCTGAAATAAATATGTTATAAAAATATTATTATAGTTAATTACTTATATTTAATTTACAATATTAAATAATTAATAAATTATTTGGATTTATTTTTATTAATCTTTTACTATTCATTATTAAAAATTGTAAGAAATATTTATAACTATTTAATTAATATTTATATTAATATTATATTTTTAATAGGGGCACAGAATTAACTGATGTAAGCATTTTAAGAAAAATGAAAAATGTGGAAGTATTATCATTAAGGTAATTAATTATGATTTATCTTTACATTTTATATAGAAATGTTACTTAAAAATTATTGTGTTAAGAAAAAAAAACTATTGATTTCAGTTTATAATTTTTAATATTAATAATTTATATAGTCTTTAATTCAAAATAAATTTACATAAATCTCAAAATTATATACAAAATTTCTTCACGTTTTGAATTTATTGTATATTTTAATATTCTTTTAAAGAAAAATGAAAATAATTTGACATGATATATAATGTTTTAATATTTGAAAACTATTAAAATTTTAGATTTCTTTTTATATTTATACTATGATATTATTATCAATTAATCATAATATTAACATAATCATAATATAACAGATTTAATTAAATAATAATTTAAATAATATTTAATTGTAGATTTAATATCATTTGATAGATTTTATTTAAATTAATTCAAGTGAAATGTAGCAATATAATCATATAACAATTTTTTAATGCATTATCTTTATGAATAATATATTCTAAAACTTTATATTATTACTGATTTTATATTTTTTAATTATAATTTTATTATTTAAATATTTATTAAATAATTATCTTTGAAATAGAATATTTTTTTGAAATTCAATCAAATTTTATTATAAACATTTCTATATATAAAGATATATTTATATTGATATATTGATATTTATATTGATATATTTATATTATTACGATATTATATTTTAATTCTTTTCATTTGTTTTCAGTGTTAATCATATCAACACTCTTGCTGATTTTCAATATTGTTTAAGTCTTCAAGAATTATTTGTTAGAAATAATAATATTGAAGATTTAAATGAAGTTTGTTATCTTCAAGGTTTACCAAACTTAAGAAATTTATGGCTTGGAGAAAATCCTTGTGCTGAGAAGGAAGGGTATATACAGTATCATTAAGAATTATGCATATTAAGAGATTTTAAAAAAGAAATAGAATAGAGATAGAATTGTGCATATTGATAGATCTTGCAGAAAAGGTTAATCAGCATGTTTATAAATTGTTTTAAAAAATCCTTTTAGTTCCTTGGCACACATGGCAAGCGAAAGAAAATCTTTATCTGATTTGCGCGTTTTTTTCGCTGGATTATGATGAATGGACTATCATATTTAATTACTAATAATTATTGGAAATATTACATTTATAATATACTTAACTTACTGTTGATATGCAATTAATAAAATTAAATCTAATAAATTAAATAATTAAATAAAATGAAAATTTTCGATTACTGATCGTAAATAATTCGAATATTAATCTCAATTCAAAATGATTTTTTGTATGTGAATAAAAAGACATTAATAATTTTTAAAAATCTTTACATTTTTTATTGTTTTAAAAGATATAATATATTTCAATACTATATTTGAATAAATTTCCGAATAATTAATTTATTTCTAGGTATCGGTTATCAGTTTTAAGAGCTTTACCAAATTTACAAAAACTTGATGATGAAGTAGTATCACCTGAGGAAGTGCAAACTGCATTGACAAGAGGTCGTGTTTTAGTTCATCCTCTTCTTGATATGTATGCTTCCCCACCACAATCAAATGCAGTTAGTCCAGAAGTAAGATTATTTATTATTTGTTATTTTTATTTTATAAAATTGTTTTTTAATATATTTATTTAAATCATTCTTTATCGTCATGTAATATTTTTAATATTAAAATCTTTACTTAATTTTTTTAATGATATATATGTATATGTATTATTATATGTATCATTATATTTAAATCTATGATTTTATTTATTTTCATCATAATAAATTCATTTTAACAAAATCTTAACACTTAAATAACATTTAAATAATTAGGATATTACTACTGAATATATTGAAGAAAGTGAAGTGACACGACATCGAAGATATAGTTCTTCAAGTGATCAGGTAATATAAAATTCAAGTTGTTAAAATTTTTTTATTGAAATTTTACTTTTGATAATTTTATTAAAATCTAAATTATATATTATATTATATTATTATTATAATATTATATATACATGCACATATATTTATTTAATACAAAGAGACAATTTCTTATATACATATTTACTTACAGAGAAGTTTTGAAGAGACACAACATGTTCAAGAAGAGTATCATGATCCAGATCATAGAAATGCAAATTATAATGCGTCACCATCACATCATTATTCACAAAATAATCAATATGCATATGAGGTAAGTCAATGCTTTGCATTGTATATTTTTGCATGTAAGAAAAATGTACATTAATATAATATAATATATATTTAATGAAACTGTAAACGAAAATGATTATTCTATGTTTCAAATTTTCATTAGATTACTTTTATTTTCATATTAAAATTAGAAATGTAATTAATTTTTTATTTTTTCTTAATTGTATAATGTTAACTCTATTCGTAATTTATTCTTAGTTGTATTGAGCAAAGTATCTAAATCAATATTTAACAATATTTAAATAAGCATGATTTTATTGCTCCTTTTATCTGCAATCATATACTGACAGCAACAAGCAAATGGACAGTCAAAGAATCAAAGCAAAGATGAAACTATACGTACAGAGTCGCGCAACGTCAGTGAAAACGTGGCCACTAACACTATTGAAATAATCAAGGTACATTTTATAGATTGCACAATGCTTGTGCAAAGTAGTGTTATTTCTAGTGTTACCTTGATAGTTTTAATATTCATTAGTTAAATTTATATATTGCTTATTCAAAGTTAATTGCTATTTATCAATTAGTGACATTGATTTTAAATGATTTTTTTTTAGCTAGTAAAGATATAATTATAAATATAATATATATAATTAAAATTTAAATATTAAATACTTTGTATCTAAATATGTAAAATCTAAACATATATAATATTTATTTGTTTTTATAAAATTAAAATTTATTTTTTTTAAAATAAAAAACAAAAAATGTAATTTTTATAAAAAATATAATTTAGATTAAATTATTATATTATAATATTATTAGCATATTTTTATCTTTAATTGATTTTTTTATGACAAATGTTGTAAACTTTGAATTCTAATTTTAACAAAATCTTTTAGATAATTCTGAGTGGTTCACTGGAAACAGATTATCTAATTATCAATATTGTTATCAAATATAAAATAATAATTAATTTTGTAATATTTTTTAAATTTTAGAAGAATTAAATACAAATATATCTATATAATATATAATATATAATATACTATTGTTGAAAATAAGTAAAAAAAACTTTTTTATTAAATACAAATATATCTATATAATATACTATTGTTGAAAATAAATAAAAAAAATTTTTTTACTAAAATTATTTTTAGGAATATGATGACCGATCAGCAATATCTAGACATAATGGAGATTATGATGATAGAAGATCTTATGCAGAATATAGTAATAATGATATTTCTCAACGAACATATGCACCAATGTCTCCAAGAACACAATATGCTACAAATGAAATTTTAGATGAAAGACGAGCAGAAAGAAATAATTATGATTATGACAATAGATTGAAATCTGAATATAAAGAACATCATGATCACAGGATAAAATCAGATTATGAAGAGCAACATCAACCATCATCTCAACCTAGACGAATGGCAGTTCATCACAATGTAAAAAGGGTTAAAATTAAAATTATTATTATTAATTTTGATTTAAAATTTAGCAATATAAATTATATAAAAATGAATCAAATGAAATTTTTCTATATTGTAGGAAGATTCAAACCAAGTACCTGGATGGGTAAGACATTCTGACAAGGAAAAATGTAGATCACAATTTCATTACCACAGAAGGCCTGTTACAAGAGTATATTTCACATATATATTGTTTTATTAAAATTTAAAAATAGATTTAAAAATAACATAAAATATTTTGATTTTAGAACTCAAACATATTATCGGCTGTATTATGTTTAGTTAAAGAGCTTGATTATCCAAGTTTAGAAGTAGTAGAAATGGCTGTTAGGAATCGAATGGATGAATTAGAAGAATGATGTTTCTGACGCCGTCCCCAAAATCAGGGGACGGTCACTTTTTCTCATATGGGCAGTGTTTCTTCAATTTCAAGTCCAGAATTTTCAGATTCTCTCGATAGTATGGTAATTCCTTGCCAATATATTATTGATAACGATACAAATTGTAATATTGATCATCATATGTCATGTAATCGACATTCGATCGATGATAATACTGATAAATGTCAAATTCGCCGGAATGGTTGTATGGAAACTTCAATGCGAAATCCAAAAAATATATCTATTCATCCGAATTCAAAATATTTTGGAAATAATCAGAATGTATATAATCTTAGGGACTCTATACCAGATAATCTAATGTCTGTAGTTAATAACAGCGAAGAAAAGAAAGCCAATGATGTTAGAAGGGTTGCAAGTAGTGACAGCATCCCTCGCAGTAGCTTTAATGGTTTAACTTTAAGTCCAGGATGCAGGGTTTTAAGTCAGGATTGTGTAAGAAGGTCAAAAAGTCCTGATATTAGAAACACGATCGTCCCTCTTCGCTATATTCAGTCAGCAAAAGGTACTTGGACATATAATTTATAAATTAAATTATAAGTAACATTAATACTCTCTCGAAATAGAAAAATTTCATTTAGAAAATTATTTCGAGAAATTCCTAAAATTAGATAATCATTATATAACTAAAAAGAAATGGCATAATTTGTGCAGTTTCAGAAGAGGATATATATAAAAATATAAAATTAGAAACAATTGTGATATTTCTTCAAAGAGTAAAAAATAAAATTTTAGCGCAATTATTTCAATGTAATATATAAAATGATTATACTCAAGATAATGTTTATGTACTTTATATAAATGATGCAAAAATTAAAAATGAATTTTACATTGTTTAAAATAAATATATTATTCATTGCATCAATTAAAGTACTGAGTGCAATATTAATATCTTAATTTCTTAATATTATTTTCGGTATAATGTTATTTATAATTTGAATGAATATAAATGGAGTTGTGTTTTATATATTTTTTTTTTTTAGAATTTTGTTTAAAATATTACATGAATGTTACATATTTTCAAAGAGTTTTTATAAATTACAACGTGATATAATGTACTTAAAATTTGTATATAAAGCATATAATCAAAGATGAATTTATGTCAGATTAAATATTTTTAAAAAATCTTCAATAACTTTAAGTTAAGTAAAATATTTTACTTATATTTAATATCTGTCATTGGATTTTTTATAATATGCAGTAATTTACGAGATAAAGTGTAATATAATTTCATGTAGATTGTACAAAATATTTACAAATTTTTGAGCATTAATTTTAGTAATTTTTCGAGTATCATTGAAGATTACATTTGTTTTTTTAACAAATGTTTCTGTACATTCATATTTAAAAAACGTTAAATTCGTGTAAAAATTTTAAGTACTGATATTTTTTTCATTTTTATTATTATTTCTATTGTCGAATTTCTGTGCGCATTAATATATATGCAATACAATTTAAAAATTTAATTAATATTAATTAAATTGTAAGTAAAATTGTATTCAAAATGATATAAAAAAAATATAATGAATAACAAAACATGTGAAGATCGTGCAATAGCACATATATACTATATAGATTAATATTAGACTGATAAATATTTATGCATATTTTTTTGGAATGAAATCTTCATATATGTTACAAATGGGTAAACGGTGTGAGAATTTAAATAATGTGGCTATTAAATTCTTTCTACAATTTAAACCGTTCCACGTAACTAAGCCAATTTTGAACCTAGATTTAAGATATTTTATAAAAATGCGGAATATAATATTTTTTGTTACATATAACCGTCCACTTATATTATTTTATAAATAATTAATATTATTGTTACTTAATATTGTTACAAGACTATTATAATTAATTGCCTAATATCTGTTCAGCGTAAAATACAGATGTTAAATATTTTTTTTTTTAACTTAAAATATGTTTTGAAACAAATTATATATAATAAAAATAAAAATCGTAACATATGTCTTTCATTTTAAATGACTTATATTATTAAAAGTTTAAATCAAAAAAAAAATTTTAAATTATTATTTAAATGTTTATTGTTATTATTATTATATTAATTATTAATTATTATAACTTAAATTTTTCTAGTTAATGTATGCAATTATTATCTTATTGTAGTTATAATATTAATGTGTTTTACAAAATAAAGTTTATAAAATTAAAAATATAACATATATAATTTCTTAATTTACTGGTTAAAAAAAACAAGTAAACTTGAAATGTAGTATGCTTGCTTTTGAAAAAATGATCGTCTATATCTGTGAAATATAAAATATCGCGGAATTTTATTTAAATACATTACGTCGAATAATTTTATGTACACTTTTGTTGCTAAGACAACGCTATCGATAGATTAACCCATACGTATATAAGAATTATAAAAGTACTTTGTTTCTAAAAGTAGAAGTTAAACATTAAAAAAATGTCATCATATGCAACACCAATACTTTATTTAAATATGGGTGGCGAAATGTTATATGTTTTGCGACAAAGATTGAAAGCACAAAGAATAAGTATTGATAAAACTATACAAGGCTAGTTTAATATTATAAGATATTATAAGAAGTATATAATGTATTACTAATTTATGTCAGATATTTATGTTTTTTTTTGTATATCATTACATATTGATTAATTTTTTAATATGTTTTTGTTTAATTTGTAGTGTTAGATGATGTAACTGCAGCATTGCTTAATCCTAAAACATTATCTTCTATATTTGAGCAAAAATCTTTGACCAAAGTATCTTTTTTACGATCTACTTTAGAATCTGTTGTATTATCATCAATAATGAAACTTGATAAAAATAGTATGGATAAACTATTTGATTTAATGATTATGATGGTTAAATATCAGTTAATTGCAGCTACTGGTCCTGTAGAAGTTATATTATTAACATTAAATCACATAGATGCAATGCGTGATATGGTTAGCAATTTAAATGCTCAACAATGTGTTGGATTGGTACATCAAATGGTAACTGATGTAAATATTTTATTCATTAATTAAATGTATTCATGTATTATTCATGTTTAATCTTTAAAATAATTTACTAATGATTTTATAGTTTTATAGTACTCTAACTTTTGAAGAAGTTTGGAATGCTAGGAATGATTGTATAAAAGAATTAGAATATTATTGCGTAAAGATATCTATTCTTCTTAGACTTGGATTACAAAATGATGATGGAAGTTTTAATTCAATGCATCACAAATATGATGAAAAATATGAAGAGAATAAAACTAATTTTTATAATATTAAATTATGTGATATAAATTTGGAAACATACTGTAATGGTTCTTTTAATCTTTTTGGAGAACGCGGTACAATACTTGGAAAAAATATGTAAGTATTATATGTATGTATAAAATATTTTAAGACAGAAATATATAAAAAAAATATTACATAGGTATTCAATGTCATATAATATATCGAAATTAACTTCTGAACAAGAAAACCAAAATTATATAAAAGACTGTGGTATAAAAGCAGAACTTGGTATGTTAGCTGTTCAACTAGGAACTGAAGAAACTTCATATAAACGACCCTTTACTTTGAATTTGCTTTCAAATGAAGATAATGATAGTGCAAACATAAAAGAAAATTTTGATTCTTTAAAAGATAATCACAATAATGCAATTGTAAAATTCGAAAAAACAAAACTCAATGAAGATTATAAAACGAAACTTGATATTATACGTGCAGATCTTTTCGAAAATGATTGTGAAGAGATAAAACATAATACAAATTTGTTGGAATTATTAGATAAAACGGAATAATTTTAATCTACTTTTCAATTACATTGTATAATTAATACAATGCATATAAATTTTTTTGAACTTTCTCTTTATATTTATGCATATATAAAAATTCTGTCACACAAATAAATATTTTTTTTACGTAAAACAATAGTTCATTTTTTATAAATATAGTTAAGCTTTATTTAATTTTATTATCTGCTATTTATAATGAATTATTTTGAAATTATTTCGTAGTTTTAATGAAAAATATATTTAATTTAATTTAAAAATTCATTACAAAATATGTATCATAGCAAACATCATAAAGTTAATATTTTTGGCATTAAACATATTAACATTCATCTTTAATAAATAAAAATTTTTAATATACTAAGTATATTAAAAATGCAATCATTAAAAAATTGTTAAATTACAATCTAGAAAAAAAATTTACTTTATGGTTTAGTCATATCCAAGATATATTTTACTCCAGTTCGGCCATCTGTATGTAATGCATTTATAACAGCTTCTTGATACTGATGAAATGGTACTAACTTATGAAGTGGAGCTTTTAATTTTTTGTTTTTAAATAATGCTCCTAATTCACGAAACATATTTTGACGCTCTATAGAATCCATATTTTTTTTTGTCCATGCTGTCATCCAAAATCCTTTAAATGTTATATCCTATTTAATAATTATTAAAAAATATTAATGATATAATATTAATAATATTATATATTATATATTATATATTATTTCACATGTTTTAATTAATATACCTTAAAAATAAGTGCAGAAATTGGAACTGTTAAAGGTTCTCTAGACATACCACCATAAGTTATCATAATACCTCCATGTGCTAAATGTCTTGAAACTTCCAATGCATTTTGTCCACATACACAATTCAGAGCTAATTTTGGTGAAGGCAATTTTTTACTTTTAAAAATTTGAGTTTTTCTTATTTCATTCTCAGTAAGAATTTCATCAGCACCCAAACTTGATAAATGATTCTAAATGATTAATAAAAGCTTTTTATTAAATTATCCATTATATAAATAAAATTTATTTTTAATTTTCTCCATACCTTTAATTCTTGTATATTTGGTCTATCTCGTACAACACTAACAGATTTATAATTCCATACTTTACATAATTGTATAACCATTTGTCCAACAGCTGAATTTCCACCATTTTGAATTATAGTATCTCCAGGTTTTAATTCTACAAAATCTTTAAGCATTCTATATGCAGTACATGGATTTACATTTAACATACTAGCTTCTATAGTACCAATTTCTTTTGGAACCTAAAATTTTGATATAACATGAATTAATTATTATATTATTTTAATAAAATATAAATATCTTATATTTAAAAATATATTATATACTTTCATAAGTTCTTCTGAAGTATAATTTGCATATGTTCTCCATGTTCCTAAATTTGTGCCATTTGGTATAACTCTATCACCAACATTTAAATGTTTTACATTGGATCCAATAGCTATTACTTCACCTACTCCTTCATTTCCTGGAATAGCTGGTAAAGGTGGTTTACTTGGATATTTACCTTGTATTGTGTTTATGTCTGCTGGATTAACAGGTGCTAATAACCATTTTACAGAAACCTTTATAAAATATTAATATTTTTATTAGAATATATATATATATATATATATATCAAATAAATATATTTTCTTAATTTACCTCATTATTTTCTGGTTGATTAATAGGTTGTGTTGTAACATGTAAAACATCTGCAGGTTCTCCATATTCTTTATAAAATAAAGATTTTACAGAATCTGTTTTAACCATTGCATTTATATGACGAACTGATGTCAAATTTATCATATTTGACCGTGACAAAGGTAAAATCAAGTTTTTTACATATATAATCATTTTAATATTCTATGATTACATTCAAATGTTCTTTAAAAAATAATTCTTCCGAATAATCACGGTAATGATTGAGAAGTCATGTAAAGAATTGCTATAATCATAAATTTGCCTACTAATATGTTAAATAGATAAAATTTCAATCTATATAATGTAATATTCTAAATATTAGACATGTTTTTATTTCTTTAGAAAAAGAAATTTTTAATAATCTCTAAGTTTAATATCTATTAATTACACATTACTTTAATATTTTGTGTATATATATATATCACGTTGTTTTATGTTATATAAGTACAAAGATTTTTTGAGTAAACTCAAACTTATTTTACACGTTAAACATATTTTACAATTACAAAATCATATTACAATATTCAGTGTATCAATAATACCAAATATGAATCAAGAACTTTCATGAGTGAATAATATAAAAGTTCCCTATAAAACTCCTTATAAAATTTTTATAATATTCAGAATAAAAAAGATAATTTTTTAATCTATGTTTCAATAGATAAAAAGAATAATCAGTATCTTTTGATATCAGTTTAATAATCTTTGTTATGAATTATAATTGTTAGTTATTTTATAGTTAAAATTTTATAGTTAGTTACGATTTGACATTTCAATAGATGACATAAGTTTCTGACTTAGATTGTATGCTATATCTAATGATAGTTTTATATATGTATTCGATTTAATAATAGTTTTATATATTATTATGTAAATAATAAAATTAAGTACATTAATTTAATTTTAAGGTAAATCATTAAATAAGTTTAATATTCAAAATATTTTCATTGTTTCATTCTAACTTTTTATAACCTTATTTATTATTAAAAATTTTAAAAAATTAAAAAATAATTACTAATATTATTATTATATGTACATGATTATTATTATATGTCTTTTTATATATTTATTAGAAAATTAAAAAAATGATGGCTTCAGAAGTAGGTTCAACAAATAATGAACCTGTACATGTCAAGATAAGTAATGAAAAAGCTCCTTTAATTCATGGAAGAAGTATTTTGCATAGATTAAGTAATTTTTTTAAGTTTGGAAAAGTACAGCATACAGAAGGAGATGGATATGTGGAATTTGGTAGTTTAAATGCAGATAGTGGTCGTACTTTGGGAACATTTGCTGGTGTATTTAGTCCTGTTACATTATCAATGTTCAGTGCCTTAATTTTTATACGAATGGGTATGAATTTTATTAAAATAATGCAAAATATTTTATTAAATTATTTCTATAATTTTATTAATAAAATATTTATTTTTTATGTAAATTATATGAATTTTCTTTACATAGATAAACTTTCTTAAATTATAGGATATATTGTGGGCAATGCTGGATTATTTGTCACTTTGATACAATTCATAATTGCATATGGAATTTTAGTATTTACAGTAGCATCTGTATGTGCAATTTCTACAAATGGTGCAGTTGAGGGAGGAGGTGCTTATTGTATCCTTAAAATTTAAATTTTATTATATTTTTAATAATTGTTAGTTTATTATACATAAAATGTAATATGTAAAAATAAGATATTATTAATTGATATTATATTTTTAATGCAAATTATATTAGACTATGATATGTGTTTAATTTTTATGTTTATGACTTATAAATTATATAAATTACTAATACATTATTTTAAAAAAATATTTTAAGATACTAAGATATTTTAAGATATTAATAACTCGTACAATTTTTATTATATATTTCTTTTTTAAAGTAAGCTTTTATTTAAAAAATATTATAAATATATATGTTTTATATATGTTTTTATATATATATTTTTCCTATTATTAATTATACAGTTATGATTAGTCGTACACTTGGACCAGAATTTGGTGGATCTATTGGTACATTATTTTTTATGGCTAATATTGTGTCCAGTGCACTTTGTATTTCTGGATGTGCAGAAGGTTTAATAGAAAATTTTGGTCCTTCTGGTTATTTGGCTGGTAAAAGTGCACTGATACCAGATGGTAGATGGTGGAGATTTTTATATTGTTCTATATTAAATACTGCCAATTTAATAGTATGTTTAATAGGAGCTGCAATGTTTGCAAAAACTAGTGTTGCAATTTTGGCAGTTGTATGTATTTGTTTAATAAGTGTTTTCATAAGCTTTTTGGCAAAAGGGTATATGGAGGTAATTATAAAAGATGAAAAACTTATTAATTGATGTAAGAAATATTTATATGAATTATCTTTTATTATAGATACCAATACCAGATGCAAATATGTTGGTTCAGAATGCAACAGAACATGTTAATGGTACATATACAGGATTATTGTCATCTACTCTTATAAGTAATCTTTACTCAAATTACAGTCGTGATTATTCAAGTGAAGGAACAATGACTGATTTTGCAAGTGTTTTTGGTGTATTATTTAGTGGTGTCACTGGTATAATGGCTGGAGCTAATATGAGTGGTATTTCTAAAATAAAATTATTAAATAAAATAATTTTTATTTTATTTATATTTTAAATTTTAATATTTAATAAAAATTTGTAGGTGAATTGAAAAATCCAGGCAGAAACATTCCACGTGGAACTTTGTCAGCAGTATTATTTACATTTATATGTTATATTCTTCTTTCTCTTCTTACAGCTGCAAGTACAAGTCGATTTTTATTGCAAAATGATTTTATGTATATGATGCCAATTAATATTTGGCCACCATTTGTAGCAGTTGGCATATTGACAGCTACATTTAGTGCTGGTTTAAGTAATTTGATAGGATCAAGTAGAGTTTTGGAAGCTCTAGCAAAAGATAATGTTTTTGGTAAATATTATAAATTTTAATGAATTTATGAATTCCTTATATATTTATTTATTTTGTCTATTTAATTTGTAGGTTCTGGTTTAAATTTCATAATACAAGGGACATGGAAAGGAAATCCAATTGCTGCAGTTTTAACTTCATGGAGTTTAGTTCAAATAATTTTGTTAATAGGTTCTTTAAATACTATTGCTCAGATTAATTCAGTATTGTTTTTGCTGAGTTATTTAGCTACTAATTTAGCTTGTCTTGGTCTTGAACTTGCAAGTGCTCCAAATTTTAGGTATGTTTCATTTTATGTATTTTAGAATATGTAAATTTTGAAAATAAGAATAGAAACAATTACACATTTTTACAGACCGACATTTAATTATTTTACGTGGCATACGGCTACAATTGGCCTTCTTGGTACATTAATAATGATGTTTGTTATAAATAGTATTTATGCTTCTAGTAGCATAATACTTTGTTTAATTTTAATTATTGTTTTGCATTTATTTTCTCCAAGTAAAAACGCTCCTTGGGGAAGCATTTCTCAAGCACTTATATTTCATCAAGTCAGGAAGTACTTACTAATGTTAGATTCACGTAAAGATCATGTAAAATTTTGGCGACCACAAATGCTCTTAATGGTAGCATCTCCACGTTCAGCATGCCCACTTATAGATTTTGTAAATGATTTAAAAAAAGGAGGACTTTATGTAATAGGGCATGTAAAAGTTGGAGAATTTTTAGGTCAGAATATTGATCCTACCATAGAAGAATATCCACATTGGTTGAGTTTAGTTGATCATATGAAAGTAAAAGCATTTGTTGAATTAACAGTTACAAAAACTGTACGTGAAGGACTACATCATTTAATTAGAATATCTGGAATGGGAGCAATGAAACCAAATACAATTGTTCTTGGTTTTTATGATGAACAAATACCGATAGATTTTTTCAAAAATTCACAATATGCAACTGATATGTTTGAAAATGTTTCAACTTTACCAAATAGTACTGCATTTCCTTTAAGGCATACAAATGCAGAAAAAAATCTGGATCCAATACAATATGTAGGAATGTGCTCAGATATTTTAAGAATGAAAAAAAATTTGTGTTTATGTCGAAATTTTCATACCTTAAATAAATTACAAATAGCTAAGTAAGTATATAAATATTTTATTGATTTGTATCATTAAATTATTTTCTTATATTTCATTTTTTAGAAACTCATCTTTAAAATATATTGATGTATGGCCTGTGAATTTTTTTCAACCAACAGATCAAGATCCATTTGATACAACTTCATTATTTATGTTGCAACTTGCGTGTATTATCAACATGGTACCTATATGGAAAAATTTACATCTTAGGGTATTTCATTGTGAAGTTTCAGACAGTAACTCAAGTTTAAATATATCAGATTCACAAAATTCGATTAGTGAATTTCCTCGGGTTTCTAACGAATTTCGTATAAGAAAATTATTAAATATGCTGAGAATATCAGCATCTATTAAAAAGATTCCGAATTGGGGAACGCAAGTACGTGGGCTAAAAGGTCATTCTCTCATTGATTCAGCTGTAGAAAGTCAATATGAATCAAGCAATGAAAGTAGTGATATCTTAAGTAATATTTCACGTGCTTATATTTTGAGGTAAATATTATTTAAATTATTTTATATATTTGCTGTTTAAATGATATTTAACAATTTTTCAAGTAATTTATATTTCTAATTGATTAATTTTATTTTTTAGCGTGAATCAACTAATTAGACAACATTCTTCACAAACTGCTACAATATTTATATATTTACCTGCACCCCCAGTATCAAATACATGGGATGAAAATACTATATATCATCAATACCTTCAATTATTAACAGAATTATCAGCAGACTTACCACCTCTAGTATTAGTGCATGGTGTCAGTGCAGTTACATCAACAACACTATAATGAAATGTAAATACTTGAGAATGGAAATTCTTGTTACATAATTTTTATAAGAGAAAGTATTATTTAACAAATAATTTTAAAGATTTTAAATTATAATTTTTATATCTCCTACATTTTTGGAGAAATGACAATTGAAATTTAAAAAAACAAACAAGTACCAAAAATATTTTATTTAATATATTCTCTATTATAAACTACTAATTATGACAATTGAGAAATAGTAATGCTTTCTTATTACAATAAGAAAATCTTGTAACAAATATCGGTTATTGCTGTGATAACGAATTTATTCTATAAAAAAGTTTTCAAATATAAATATTTTTTAAATATTACTATATATATACCTCAATTAATAAATTGTTAAACTGGTATTATCGTATTTAAATATAGAACTATTTCTATATTAATTTTTTATATCATATTTGACCATTAAATTAATTTAATATTAATAATAAAAAAAAATATAAATCTATTGTAAATTAGCAAATTTTTTTTCTATGTAGTATATTTTTTTTTGCTTGATATCTTAACCTGCATAGACTGAAAAATCGTCATTAGAAACATTATATCCTGATATTCGAATAATTTTAGAAATATAATTATTCAACTTTTAAAATTAATAATTTTTATTAATGTATTATTATTTAACTTAAATTTTATATTATATTATTGTTAAAATATAGTTTGATGACAATCGATTGATTTTTAGGATACAATATTTCTTATGATTGTATTTCAGTTTTTTAATATCTGCATTTTTTCATTTTTGTATAATATTTTAATAATTTTGTTTGTTTAAAAATTTTTTTTGTAATTTTTTATGACAACAAAACAAAATTGTTAATGAATAATAAATATCATGTGCATAATAGATAATAGAAAAAAGATATAAAATAAAAAAAATATTGTAATGAATTTCATAATAATTTTAAAAATATATATTTGATTATTAATTTTTACATTAATAATTTTTTTTTTAATTCTTTTAATAAAATATTTACTAAATATATAAATACATTATAATTATATAAATACATTATAAATACTTAAAATTTTATCACTTTATTTAAATTTTTTATATTTTAAAAATTTCTATAATGATACCATTGTATAAATACCATACTTTTTTTTTCATATTTTAAACAAACTTTTCTTAATGTAATTTGATTGTAATTGTGAATCACATATAATGGATTTTGGACAAAATACAAGCATTTATAAAATAATAATTTAAAAAAATTATTATAATTTAATATTTAATTATATAATTTACAGTTATAATAATTTAATTTTACATAAAAATGGTTGTCAATATCAAATTCTAGAATTTAAAATTACAATGCTTGAAATTATTTTTTTTCAATAAATAACAATACTGAAATGAATTTAATACGTTTTGATTCGCAATGTTTTATAGTGCATCAAATACGTGTTTTGTCCATTCAAATTAATAAAAATATTTCATTTCAGTTAATTATCTTGAATTTTTGTCGAAATCATGAGTTATATTTAATAATATATATTTAATGATATAATTATATTATATTTCGAATTATTTTAAATTATATTCGAGAATAAATATAATAATATCTTCATATATTTTTAAGTTAAAATTCAAATTATAATCATAAAAAAACTTTATACAAGGACTTTATAAATGATGTGTAAATGTTTGTATACATAAAAAAGTGATTTCATTAATAGCATTTTATCTATAATAACGCAATTATATATTAATAATACATTCGATATAAAAAATTGCTATAACTATTCTTATTCAATACTGTAAGTTATAATTTACATTATTATTCTTTCTACATTATTATAAATAGAGTATAAATAATAGAATCTATTTTATCTGGAACCACTATAGATATCGACTTATATTTTATTTTAAATTAAATGATTCAAATGGACTATTTAGAATGGACTATTTAGAAAAAATTTTGAAAGTAAAAGTATTATTTTATATTTCATTAATTCATATTTGAAGTGCTCTTTAGATAACGTAATTAGATACAATTTATAAATTATAACTGTATCTATTATAGATACAAAGAGTATTTTTCATAAATATTTATAAGAATATTTTAATAATAAATTAGAGAAATATTCAAGTAACATAAAATTAAATGAAATTTTTATACACCAATAATTGTTTTCAATCACTTGATTTAGAAAAAATCAAATTTATATCCATAGAAATATTTTCAAAGAAAAATTGTTCTATTCTATTATATTTATATTAAACATCATATATAATGTCCTGGATAAAGTCCTGAATAAATTATTATATTATCATTATCATATTATATTATTATATTATATTATCATATATTTAAAACAAAATTTTTTAAAAATAAAATAATTTTGTATATATAACATGAATCAATTTGTACATGATAAATTTGTACAATACATGATCATATCATCAATGTAGATCATATTATCATAAATCATTACCGCTATTAAAGATTTTTTATGATAATAAAATATAAAAAATATAAAAAAATAGAATTATATATAGGCTTAGACATAATCTTAGCATAATTGAATATTATAGCTCATCAATACTATTAGAAATCTTTAAGTGATTAAAAATATAAAAAAATAAAATTATATATGGACTTATTAGATTTTGGCATAATTATAAATTATTATTTTTAAATTAATATTTATAATACTTATAATAAGAAGAAAAAGTAAAAAAAAAGTAAAAAATTTCACAAAAGTAAACAATGTATTCTGCATCTACACTAAAATTTCTTTTATGAAATTATAAGACATGCTCTTCTATATTTTCATTTTCTTGATCGGAAGAATCCGAATCTTGAGCTAAGTATTTTTGAATTTGACGATGTGTCATATCTTTCGTTTCAGGCATAAAGAACATTACTATAACTGACATAAGACAACATATCGAGAGAAAATAAAATATCCAATCGATTTTAAAATTTATATCAACAATAGTACAAAAAATTAATGTTAAGAAAAAATCAAGTAGATCACCAAAAGTTTTAATAATAAGGGTAGCAAAATTTTTTATTTCTGGAGTAAATAGTTCGTTTATGAGGATGTCGGATAATGAGCCCAAGCCTAAATAATATACTACTTGGAGCAAGGACATGAAGCAAACAGGAAGAATATCCATCGTGATTTGTGGCATATTGTTATTAACAAATGTAAAATAAAGTGCCATGATAAAAAATGTATATGAACATCCAATTGTACAATATATCAAACGTATACGTTTTTTTATAATGTGAGCCGTTGCGGTAGATAAAAGGGCACTTAAAAATGCAATGCTAAAAATTATAATCATCATTGCGTTCACATTCATTTTAACTCCTGCTGCTTCAAGCAATATTGGAAGATATTGCATAATAAAGTAATATCCTGTAAAATTTTGTGCTACAGTTATGGAAAACATAATAAATGTAGCTTTTATGTTATTTTTCAGATATAGTAATCGTAATTTTCCCCACAAAGTATTTCTATTTATATTTAAACATCGACTATTTTTTGGCCTATATGAATTATTCTCATTCTCCGCACGTTTGTGTAGAAGCGACTCCAATTCCCTTCTCGATTCATAGGGATCAAGAATATCTTTAAAAAATGATATTGATTTAATAGCTGCAGTTCTATCACCATTTTTTGCCAAGAAAACAGGACTTTCAGGAAGAAAAATGATTAATGGAATAAACATTAAGGATAGGATTAAAACACTAGTTGTGAGCGTTAAATAAGATACAATATATCCTATGACACTGATTATTAATGATCCAAGAACTATACTTGGTATTGTCAGTGTGTTCAAGATATTACTTATATAAGGATCCGTCACATCCAATACGTACATAGGAAATGCCTTATATGCAATACCAATACCTGTGCCATGAGCTCCTCGAGCAACATGCGCAGCTTGTGATTCGCGTCCGTATATTAAGGTAAACCAGCCAAAGATAAAAAGTAAATCGGCCAATATGAGGCCTTTTTTAGGGCCGAAAGTATCAATTATAATATCACCTATGAATCGACCAAGTGAAATTCCAGTTACTAACATAGAAACAAGCCATGCCAATTCGTCATTTGTAATATAGATTGGACTATCGCTGAGGCCAGTTTTTAGTTGAGGGATAGTTACAGTATACCATCCGTATATACAACCAGCCAATATCATGATGTATAATCCTGAAATAAGAAATATTTTAGCAAGAAGAAAGAGTTTAATATAGATAAAGAAAAAATGATACCACCACAAATAAGAACGGTTCTGGGATGGATGTTATCATGCAGATAAGATTTGTAGTTTTTAATGGGTAAAATTCTATACTCTTTTCAAATCTTCATCATAGAATTTTTTGAAAATTTTAACGATTTTCCTCGTTAAAAAAAAAAAATACAAGAAAAAATTGAACATATATTAAAATTTACATATTTTCAGCGTTGAAATAATAAATGGAAACATTTATAAAATAAAATGATTAAAAAATACATAGCATTAAATATTTATAAATGATTATTTTTCATAAATTACAAAATACAATTAATTATATTTAATATATAATATAAATAATTAAAACAATATTATTTATTAAAAAATAATAATTGAACTATTCTATAAATAAATAACGATACTCATTTAGTGAAGAAAATAGAATATAATTTTATAGGTTTCATAAAATTACAAGTGATGAAAATTTCGATATTCGTTAATGTAAGATAAAAAATAAAAAACTGACCACAACTTATTGCTACCCATTGTCTAGTTTCTCTTCTTCTTCTACTACGTATAAAATCTCTTAGTTCTACATTTTCTCTTTCAGAACGTATGAATGTTCTTTGCTGTAAAATAAATTATATGATTATATGAGATGATCATATGGTAGTAATAGTAGTTATATATATTGCATTTTTGAAAAAAAAAAAAGAAGAATTATTAAATCATTCTTTTTTTTAAAAATTAGTTTCATAAATTAATCTATATGTTGCATACTAGAAAAATTATTAAAATAAATAATACGGAACATCTCGTTCTCATAATTTTAAAGGAAATTAATCAATCACTAAATATATTATTAGTAGACAGATAAACCAAATTTGAATTTTCTATTACAAAAATTATCATGTATGAATTTGTGTAACATTTCAAACAAACAGAAAATTACTAATTTATTATTATCTAAAAAAAAATTTATTATTCTATAACATTTTTTATAATATTATCTATAATTATATACTTATATTAATGTATTATTAATCAGAATACTTACGAATCGCATCCGACAAGCCATATTTGCAAATATTAATTATTTTTTTATATAATATTTTTTATATAATAATTTTGTAAGAATTTTAAACACTTGATGTCTATTTTTCAATTTATATAATGGAAATAATTAATCACAATATGATTGATGAATAATTTATTATGTTTAAATTTATCATAGATAAGAATAGATTCTAATTAATGTTTTATCGTTAACAATTTCTAATTTCTAATCTTCACGATAATTTATTTCGAATTTTCAAATAATAATGATCCTCTTATAGGTTGTTTCACTTTTATACATATAATATAACTTTGATATTACCTCGATAGATAAACAATTCTTATATACTTTAACGTTAGGAATTAATTTCAAATATCTTGGTATACAAATTGTATGTATATAAAAAAAAGTTTCTATTTGAAAAACATTTCGTTCGCATGTTACCAGTGATCATAATTATATAAATATAATGAATTACAAAAATATTATTTTACTTAGTATAAAATATGATTATGCAGTATTTATAAAATAACAAAATCTTTGTTCATCAGAAGATTTAAATTATAAACAATTTTGTATTGAAATAATATTACAATACAATCTCGTTTGCGTTGTAATATATATAATTCTCTTTGAATTCATTATTATAATTAATTATTGAAAATATAAATTAATGACAAAATTTACTTTTATCATATTAATTATCAATATAAATCTTTGTATGTATTTTGTCTTTTTACGTATAATTTAATTTTTAAATGAATTTATATCTATTTTGTTATCTAAAAATTTTTTCATTTTTAATTAGTTTTTATATTATATAACTATTAGTTATATAAGTCATATTTTTATTTGTATGGAGTTACATCTTATACAAGTAATATGCTTATATATCTCCATTATGTGTTATCTCTTTAATATGTAAATTGTATTCATAATCAAAACGAACGGATTGTGTTAGACGCGTCTCAGTTTCATAAATAATCATCTCAACGAGCGCGAATTAATTTATGCAATTGGCACGATCAATGTCGAGAACATATTACAGCAATTCTTGACTTATTTGTTCTATTATTCAATATGTTTTATATTGAATATTTTATAAAGATATTATTTTTTATATTGAATGTTTTATAAAGAAAATATTGCATCAATTACGATATTTGAATCATTTTTCATAAAAAATTCAAAATACTTGTAAAAGAATTAATAAAAATTAAAAAAATTTATCAATTGTTAGAAAAAGATGTGATAATAGCGGCCAATATTATTATTAATGAGTGAATTAAAATGAATTAAAAATATCTAAAAAGTTTAATTTTTGTTATTGTTATCATTTTTTTATGCTTATAAAATAAAAAGTATTATCTAAAACATTAATTCTAACTAATGAATTTTTTATTTTATTCTTGATTATATGTTTTTTTCATGTATGATTAAAATCATTCTTTTAAACTTTAACATGCAAGTACTTACACGGCTTTCAATTAATGATAATCTGATTAAGACCAATTGTGTAGGCACGACCGCCTGTTCGTTAATCGTGCTTGAATAAAGCTGATTACGAACAGTAGAATAAATAGTTACAGTTGATTGCAAGAATTGTAAGTTTCGCGAACACCTCTAAGACTTAGACAATACTTACGAACGTATATTTTTTCGAAAGAAGAAAAATATCATTCAAAGTGTTCGTTATATTGAAATTAATTTTATCAGTATGCTTATTTTTATGATTTGAATTTTGATCGTGAAAGAGAGAATGAAATTGAAATTATTCATTAATAATAATTTAAAATTAATTTTTTGTTAAATTTCCCCCAAAAAATTGTTATTATGAAATATTTGAAATATAAATAGAAGATTAAAATATATATAATAGAAAACAAAGAAAAAAAAATTATTTTTAGTAAAATTTATAATATTCCTATGTGTAAATAATATAATGAAATATTTAAAAAAAAATCTTAAAACATAAAATCGCGAATTATTTTGCATATTTAAAATGGCTTAATAATTAAAATTTAAAAACTAAATTGTAATGCAAATATTACAGTAAGCAAACATCTAGTTTTATCAGACTTAAGTGCAGCGATAAGGTTCGCATATATATATTGTTCAATAACATATTGTTTCAACAAATTTTATGTCTTTTAAATAGAACATTCATAATTCATATAAAAATAAAAATTCGAACATATTGTGTCAAAAAAATGATTGATAAAATAAATAGTGTAATAGTGTAATTAAAGAAAATTAGAATTTAATGCTGTGATAACATTTAATTTTGAATAACTGAATATAATGTACATAATATGACTATAAGATATGATCTCGTGGAATGTGATTATGTAAAAGGTGTCACTTGAAATAACAATATCAAAATATGTAAAATTAAATTATTAGTGTTTTTAAAAATATTAATAATAACAAGTAAAAAAAATAATACGAAGACTTTATTTTCAAGTGGTTCTATTATGAATGTAAGTATATACATCATTATTATTTGCATGATATGCACTATAAGTAATATTATATTGTACAAGCTATTGCATCTTCTTGTTAAACATGCAAAAATAATTTTTAGAATTACAATCTCTAGCAATGTAATCAAAATTTAAAGTTTTTACGAAAAATATATAAACTTACATTTAAATTTTAAAAATATAATTTTGTATAAATATTATATATTTAAGTATTATATATTTAAGTATTCCAATAGTATATTTTGATATTCTAACCTTGATTAAATTACAATATAACATAAATATCACAATCTTCATTTAAAAAACATATATTTAAATTTATCAAATTGAAGATATTTCTGCTTTTATTGTACTTATCAGCAAAAGTCGCCATTTGCTATATCATCGAAACACAGAACTGTAATAATAGAATAATAATTAAAGTAATAAATAAGACACAAGCAAAGTATCTTATGAACAATATGCGGAATAGATTATATAGTGAATTTCATTGTATTTAAGAAATTTGCTCTATAAAGTATTTACAAACGCGTTCTCTGACCTAAAGAGAAACCACGTTGGCGCCTAGTATATTTATAAATGAGATCGGTAGTGGGAGGACGACTAGTAACGTGACATTGGCAGATCAAGAAATAGAGAAAGGAGAAAGAAAACAAAATTAGTTAAGAATGTAAGTAATCAAGAATGTGTCGGTAGTTTTGCGTTTTTTGTGTGATTTAATAATTCTCAACGGGAATATGTGCAATTGTATAATTAGTGAAATTAAAAATAACGAAACTAACAAGTCAACAAACGTTAATTTTATTATAAAGACAATTCAATATCGAGATTCATTTTGGTTACATGATTCTACATGCAAGAGATCCAAAGTGTCATGACAGAAACTATGGATATATTGGTGAGTATTGACTAGTACATCTTTGCATTTAGCCATTTATTCAAATTTCTTTGTAAAAAATACTTATATTTCGAAATTGGATCAGGTTATGTTATTAACCATGATGCTACGCGCGAATGACTGATCAAAAGCGCCTGCGTGTATGCGTTTACGCATTCGCATATGTAGTATATACATAAAATGCTACCGATCTTAAATTTTCTTTTATTGCAATTATTTTTTATGGATATGTTTATTTTCAAAAATAATTTTATAATTTATAAAGTTTATATATATATATATACATATATAATATAATAATTATATGAGCGTTGAAATATTATATATTTTTATTATTTCATAGATCATATAATTCTTTGATATAATGTAACCGTATGTTATACACTTGATATTATGAGATTAAATTTCATCTTCAAAGGAGAAAATATATCCAGTGTAAAATATATTAATCATATGTTTTTATTTATCGAAGCGTATTTAAATTTTTATGACTTATTTAAATTTTAAACTTAAAAATTTTTAAAAATTTAAAACTTGTTTTCGAAGTAGATATTCAGCGGATTTTTATGAGAAGCGAATTAGTTCAATAAATATTGTTTATAAACAAATTGAAATTAATAAAAAATAAGTTTACATATAAAATTACTTAATTTCTAATTATCAATATTTATATACTATAATTAATTTCTAATTATTGTATATAACAATAATTAGATTTTCAAAATATTTCAAAATATTCAAAATTTTCTATTAAAAGAAAAAAGTTATATTAATTTTAAATGGAATATATATTTTTTTATTTTGTAACTCTTTAATTTTTATTAAAAACATATTTAGTTATATTAACAATTCAGTTATAAAAATATTTATAAAAATATATATAAATCAAATAAATCATTATATTAAAAAATATTAAAAAAAGTAATATAAGTAGATTTAACAATATGAATTTCATATATTTTATATTTGAAGTTTTAATATATAAAAGATAAAAAAAATAATCTTTATTTTTTAATTTAATAATTATAGAATTATAGAATTGTATGAATAAATTGAATTTGAATAATATACGATTAAAAAAAAAATCGAATATTTTTCTCTATTATATTTATATTTATGTTTATATTTATATTATATTTTTCTTTGTCTTTGATAAATTCAAAAAAATCAAAAAAGTAATTTTTGTAATTCCTGAATCATCTAAGTAATTAATAATTGTTGCGTCATGAATTCAATTCACTTTGCAATAATTGCAATAATAAACAAATTATTATATTAATATAATATATATTTTTTACTTCTTGGAAATTAAATTTCTATTTATATTTATAATTTATATTTATATTATAATAATTAAAATAAAAATATATAAAATAATAAAATAATAATAATATTATATAAATAAAAAATAAAAAAATATTTATATTTATATTATATTTATTTCACAGATCGATACAGGCAAAGAAGTGTCCGACATGGGCGATGTGATTTCTACATATATTACATCACCTGAAAAAAAACGTAATAAAACAAAGACACAATGGCGACAATGGCTAGCATGTATTTCCGGTTAGTTTTCTATTTTTTTTAATGTTGTATTAACGAAAGTCCAATATCTATTTTCTAATTTTTTAAATTTTTATATTTTTTTTTATTTAACAAGAATTTTATAAATATTGAAATAATTTACATAATGAACTATATAATGCGGAAAATATGTTCCATGATATAAAATAACATATATATGTATAGAAAACCGGATTATACAAATTACATGAATTATATTTACAATTAATTATAATATTTGTGAACTTTTACATAATAAAAATTCAATGATGAAATCATTGAAATCATTGAAATGAAAAAATATCATGAAATTATTAATTTTTCAAGTGATTCTAATTTTTTATTTTTATTTTGGTTTAAAGTTAAATCATTAAAGTTAAGTTATTTTTTCGTTATATTATATTATTTTGTTATATTTATGTTGATATTTTAATTTTTTTTTATTCCAGCAACTCTTTCCATGGTAGCAGTGGGTACTGTTTATGGATGGGTAACGACTTCTCTCTCTCGATTAACATCCGAAAATAGCGGAATGCCGTTTAAGATAACAAACGATGAAGGTTCATGGATTGTATCTTTAACTGTAATTGGTTCTATGACCGGTCCTTTTCTGGGTGCTTGTTTAGCTGATCGCTTTGGTCCCAAACGCTGTCTTTTGATATCTAGCGGATTTTTCATCGTAGGTTGGCTTTTGGTATTATTTGCAAATACTGTAGCCGTTCTATACGTTGCTCGTGTCATTCTTGGTATAGGTGTTGGGATTTCTTATACAACGAATCCCATGTATGTCTCGGAAGTGGCAGATATCAACATTAGAGGCGCCTTAGGTACTTTAATAGCAGTGAACGTATTTACTGGATCGCTGTTGACATGTAGCATAGGACCTTGGGTATCGTATAAAATATTGGCAACGATTTTATTAGTGATACCTATATTATTTATTGCATCCTTTGTATGGTTTCCTGAAAGTCCTCATTTTTTAGCGGTAAGAGGTCGCAAAACCGAAGCTAGCCAATCGATAGCATTTTTCAAAGGTATTCACGACCCTAATGAAGTGAAAAAAGAGTTATCCTTAATTCTACGTGGATTATCCAGGAATGATTCTTTTCAGTCAAACACAAGTCAAAATATAGAGATAATTACATATACCTGGTTGGCCAAACTACGATTTTTATTATTGCCAAATAATATGAAAGCTTTATGTATCGTTGTTTCTTTAATCGCAGCACAACAACTTAGCGGAAATTTTAGTACTATACAATATCTTGATGTATTGTTTAGGAAAGCAGCAATTAGTATTGATTCAAATGTAGCGACTATTATTGTTTTGGCTGTTGGTCTCATATCTGGTAGTTTGGCCACTATAACAGTGGAAGCTGCAGGAAGACGATCACTTTTGATGATTTCTACATTTGGATCATTCCTTACATTAGCTATTCTAGCGATTTATTTTATGCTCGATATTAAAGGCATTGATGTTTCTATGATCAATTTTCTTCCCGTCATTGACGTAATCTTTTTTCAGATAGCATTTCAAATAGGTTTAGGCGTGTTACCTAATGCACTTATCGGTGAATTATTTCCTACGGAAGTAAAAAGTGTTGCAGGTGCCATCGTTACGATTTTCGATGGTATACTTGGTTTTATTGTGTCAAAACTGTATCAAGTTATTGGTGACAGTTTTGGATCTCATACGGTCTATTATTTCTTCTCGGCATCTTGCTTATTAGCTTTTTTCAATGTAATGTTATTTGTGCCAGAAACAAAAGGTAAGACGTATCGCGAGATTCAAGCGCTTTTAGCTGGGAAGGAATTGAATTCTTCAAATGAGAGAGTCAAAAATGATGACAACGATGTTATATAATATGAAGAATTACACCATAAATGTGAATCACAATCTCTATTTTTGTGCAATTTTTTATTTCTTGATTTTATTAGAAATATTTTAATGTTGGACTTAATGACTTAATGTTTACAGGATATTATAATTTTGTTTACGTATATGCGTAATAAAAAAGTTTATAATAAAAAGTTTATAATAAAAGCAATACTTTAATATCAATATTTGTAACTTAAGAAATAAATTGAATCATATTATTATTTTAGAATAAAAAATTATTTTAGAATAATAAAAATTTTAAATTAATATATTTGTTATATTTTATAACTATTCCTTAACATGCTATTTTAAATTTTATTTTAAGTTAAAAAATCGTAACAAGCAACATTTATTTTGAATAGATAAATAGTTATTTTTAATTTAGTTGGTGTTACTAATCGCAATCTATTTCCTTCAAAAACAGGAAAAATAATGATGCGGTTAGAATGACACTGTATTAATCTTAATCAATAGATTATGTATTTTAGATATTTGTGGCAGATTTTGCGGCTTTTAGAAAAACCATTTCCTGTTAAGTTTGTATATAAAGTCATAATTTAGTTACAATTTCTAATAGAACGATATTAACAGTTCAAATCCGAACATTCTTTCTTATTCTACATTTCACCGTGAGTTATAATTAAAATTTGATGAAATTTGAATATTTCGTGAAACAATCATCATATAAAAAATTTATATAAAACGGCATTTGTTCGTGAACTTGTCATTTGTAGAATAATAATTAGTTTCGTTTATTTGCTTTTTCTTCATTCGACATTAGAACTATCGACGAAAATGGCGTCTGATAAATCGGGTATTTTATATCTATTTGATCGACCTTCTGAACCGGTTTACGTCCCTAAGGGAGACAATAAAGTCGCTTTTGATATTCCACCTGATTATTTAGTAAGTATTATATTTCATATAAATTATTATTTAAATATTATTTAAATGAATTAAACAAAAACTAAATTTTAAAAAGTTAAAAAGTTAAATGTTAATTAAAAAATAAAAAAAAAATAAATAAATATAAAATTTAAAGATTTTCAATGATTTTTTAGCCTGATAGATATCGTTCTGTGGCTACTCAAGTATTTAATCGTTTCGGCGATGATGCAGAATCGAAACTTCCAGTGAAGGCAATTACTCTTCCGGATCTTAGTATTCCAATGCAACTTGGACGTCGTCAACCTTTTTCACTATTTATTCCGGCACATCGAAAAATAGCTGCTCGATTAATTGATATTTTTATGGGTATTTTTTTTTCTTTTTATTTTCTATTTCTTTTATTTCTTCTTTATTGATTGTTTTTTTAATAATTATTGTGAAAACAATTATTATGAAGTTTGATCTATTCATTATTAAACTGTTATTATTAATTAAGATTTTAATTACAAATTAAAATTATCTTAGATAGAAAATAGAAGCATATATATTAAATTTTTAATCCTTATATTCGTTTCAATGTTTAGAATCGATCTTCCAAATCAATGTCTCACAGATTTTTCAATACTTTGTATTTTATGTTGCAGGTATGCGAACATATGAGGACTTTCTGTCTGTTGCAGTTTATTGTCGCGATCGTTTAAATCCAAATATGTTTATTTATGCCCTATCAGTGGCGATACTTCATCGTCCTGACACAAAAGATTTGCCAGTACCACCACTTACTGAAGTATTTCCAGACAAATACATGGATAGTGGAATATTTTCCAGGGCTAGAGAGGAAGCTAATGTTGTACCTGAAGGTGCTAGAGTATGTATAAATATATTATAAATTGTAAATTATAAAATTTAGCTATATAAATGTAAATAAAAATATTTTATTTGTTCACAAACTATTTTTTAATAGGTTCCAATCGAAATTCCAAGAGATTATACCGCATCAGATCTTGATGAGGAACATCGTGTTGCTTATTGGAGAGAAGATATTGGAATCAATCTTCATCATTGGCATTGGCATTTGGTGTATCCATTTGAAGGTGACATGAGAATTGTTAACAAGGATCGACGTGGAGAACTTTTTTACTATATGCATCAACAGATTATGGCTAGGTAAATATTTACTAAAAATATTTAAAATATAAGTTTAAATCCTAAATGGATGCAATGGTCTGAATATGTAAATGATATTTCATTTAATTAAAAACAAATTTAATATTTTTAGATATAATTGCGAACGGCTATGTAATCGTCTTGGACGAGTAAAACGATTTATTAATTGGCACGAACCGATTCCGGAAGCTTATTTCCCAAAATTAGATTCTCTTGTTGCCAGTCGAACATGGCCATTTCGACCCAGCGGTACTGTCCTTAAGGATATCAATCGACAAGTTGATGAATTGAACTTTGACATTCAGGATCTAGAAAGATGGCGAGATCGTATTTACGAGGCAATCCATACAGGATCTGTGATTAATACCAGGGGTGAAAGAATTCAATTGACTGAAAAAAATGGAATCAATGTCCTAGGAAATATCATGGAAGCTAGTATTCTTTCTCCCAATCAAAATGTCTATGGTGATCTCCATAATTTTGGTCATGTCGCCATTTCTTATATCCATGATCCAGATCATCGATATTTGGTAAGCATGTAATATATATATATATATTTTATAATTTTTAAATTAATAATAGAATTATTGTACTAAAATGTAATTTTGAATATTAGTAAATAAATATTTAAATTAAATAACAATTATTTTAACAATTATATTTTTTTTTATTTTTTAGGAGAGTTTTGGTGTTATGGGTGATTCAGCTACAGCTATGAGAGATCCTATATTTTATAGATGGCATGCATTTGTTGACGACGTCTTTCAGGAACATAAAAATACATTACCTCAGTATACTGTACAACAGGTTAAATTTATTTTAATTTGTTACATTTATTTTATTTTGTTTATTTTGTTTTATTTATTTTGTTACATAACATTTGTTTTATCATACAATTATCATACAATTTATATTATGATTAATACATATTATTATAAAATGTGTATTTATATGTATAAATAAAATATATTTTTTTATTATCTACAGTTAGACTTCCCAGGCATCGAAATAGCAGATGTCAAATTGACAACCAATCAACAACGCAATATTTTAAATACCTTTTGGACCAAAAGCGATGTAGATTTGTCACGCGGACTCGATTTCACTCCACGTGGCGCAGTGCTTGCTAGATTTACTCATTTAAACCATGCTGATTTTTCATATACCATTGTTATTAATAATCGTAATAATACATCAACGAAAGGCACGGTCCGTATCTTTATAGGTCCTAAAGAAGACGAGCGTGGATTACCGTTTACTTTCAGAGAACAGAAGAATTTAATGATCGAATTGGATAAGTTTCCTATAACACGTATGTTAAAACGTGTATACGATAAAAATATATATATATATTTACAATTTTAAATTATTAATTCAATTAAATATGTTATTAGTATGAATATTCTGTACTTGTAATTGAAATGTTCCATTACTGCGCTATAAATTAACTTCTGCATGTAATATACATCAAATATGATGTACATATTTATTTTTCTATTTATTTGATTTTAGTTCAACCAGGAAAAAATACGATTGAACAGAAATCTACGAAATCTTCAGTAACTATACCATTTGAGAGAACTTTCCGTAATTTAGATGAAAATAGACCAATAGGAGGTGATACTTTGGAACGATTCGATTTTTGTGGATGTGGATGGCCGCAACATATGCTTATACCAAAAGGAAATAAAGAAGGTTTTGCAATGGAACTTTTCGTCATGGTATCAGATTATAAAGATGATCGTGTATGTATCTTATATTAATAGATTAATGATTAATAAATGTGAATTTTTTAAAAATTTTAGTTCTAATTTTTTATATTACAATACATAGATTGTACAGGATGAGCCAATTGGTTGCAAGGATGCTGCAAGTTATTGTGGATTGAGAGATAGAAAGTATCCTGATGCACGAGCAATGGGATATCCATTTGATCGTCAACCTCGTGCAGGTGTTGAAACTTTAGCTCAGTTCCTCACCGGAAATATGGCGGTAACTGAAGTAACAGTTCGATTTACTGATACAATTGTACCTAGATCTAGATCTGGAAGTATGAGCAACACTTTAACTTTTATGTAATGAGATTGAATATTTTTTGACATGGCAAATTATTGGATATAGATTGCTGGAATTATAATATACTTAAGATTATTAATGATTGATTTTTTACTTTTTAATGCTTTAATTGTATTTTTTATTACATATATATATATATATATATAAACCTATTGTAATAAAATAAAAAAAAATAAATGAACAATTAAAATGAAAATGTAATTGAATTTAATTAATAAGTATTTGTCATTTTAAGATCCAGAGGATTATACAAAAAAATTTTTAATAGACAAGAGACAACTAATATTTTTAAATTATTTATTTTATGCTTTAGATCTAAGTACTATGTCATATTTTATCTACAAAATTGGAGCGTATAAATTGTTACAATTCTTACAATTAAGACATTTGTGCAAACCTTGTAACAACTACTACACAAATTGTTATAACACGCAATACTCCTTGATAAGCAAATGTAGCTCAAGGAAATACAATTACAACAAATAATGTCAAAAAGACTTTAAGAAAAAGAGGTGCTATGTATCCAAAAGGAATTAGATTTCATATATATTTTTGGCATCTCTATTCTCAGAAACAAGAACGAACAATAAAACAGAGATGCCGATGTTTGCCAAAGTTTTGGCAAGTTATAAGATATGAAAATAAATTTTTTCGCGATACTGCGAATATTAAATATCAATGATTCGGTAGTTGAAAAGTCATTTTTTAAATTGTAAATATTATTAAGCTGACTAGCTGCTCAAGATTCAATTCTAGTGACTAACAGAATTAGTCATGTGAGATTGCCGCGATTATAAATAGATAGATCCAAATTCGGCGGATAGTTAGTTATTCAGAAGTCTGCATGCGTGATGTTTTATAAAAGTATTCTTCAAGTTTGAATAAATTTTGTACATGAATCGGTATCATCATTTTATTCCGATTCTTTTAATAGTACATTCTCTCATGATGAACGTCCTACTACATAACAATGTCAAAGCGTAATTACACTTTCCCGACCTGCTCCAACTCCAATCCACTTAACTGAAATAATAATAATTATAATTATTAATATATTTCAATTCAATATTAAAAAAAAATCTATAGAGAAATTAAGAAAATTACCTGGTACACCAAGATGTTCTTCTATTAGTTGTATATATTTTTTTGCATTAGGAGGTAATTTTTCTAAAGAACGTACACCCTCTGTTGTCGATTGCCAACCATCGAGAGTTTCATAAATTACTTCTACTTTCACCAAGTCAGAAGTAGTACTTGGAAAATAATCAATTTCCTTTCCATTTAATCGGTAACCTACACCAATTTGAATTTTTGGAAGCGTATCTAAAATGTCTAATTTTGTTAGACATATTGACGTATATCTGTTAAATAAAAATAAATAAAATTCTAAATGTAAAGAGATGAATAAATTTGTTTAACCAAATTTGTTTTTATAACAATATTTCTTACCCATTAACCATTGCAGTGAATTTAAGAAGAGTTAAATCTAGCCAACCGCAACGTCTTTTTCTATTTGTTGTAACACCAATTTCATGTCCTCTCCTTTGTAAAAGATCGCCTGTAGCATTCAAAAGTTCTGTAGGGAATGGACCATCACCAACTCTTGTAGTGTACGCTTTAACGACACCAACAACTTCTCCGATATAAGACGGTGGTAGTCCAAGACCGGTACAAACACCACCTATACTGCAGTTAGAACTCGTAACATAAGGATATGTTCCAAAATCTATATCTAACATCGCAGCATTTGCACCTTCTATTAATACTTTTTTTCCTTCGCGTAATGCTTGATGCAAATACTGAACGGTTTCTTTTACTAATGGTCTTATTCTTTCTGCATATCTGAAAATAGATTAATATAAATATATTATTTCTAAATATTGTTTTTTTTTTAATGATGATTTTTAATTTAATACAATTCATCTTATAATATTCTTAAAAAAAAAAAAAAAAAAAAAAAAAAAAAAAAAAAAAAAACATACTCTTTATATCGTTGAAGCTCTGCTTTTACATCAACTTGAAGTGCTGGAAACATTTTTTGATACGAAGTTACCAGTGCATCAAATTTTTGCGAAAATTTGTCGAAATCTCCGAGAAGATCACCGATTCTAAGTCCATTTCTAGCAGCTTTACTCGAATACGTTGGGCCAATTCCTTTCTTGGTTGTACCAAGCGATTGTGTACCTTTTTCCAATTCCTGGAGGCCATCGACTTGTTGATGAAAATCAAATACTATATGTGCACGATCGGAGATTATTAATCGTTCCCGCCAATTTTTCAAACCTTTCGCTTCATTGCTTTCTAGTTCTTCAAAAAGACCTGGTAAATGTATTACTACTCCATTTCCTGAACAAAATTTATGAAAAATTACTATTATAATTATAATAATAAATTTATGATATTTAAATTTATAATATTTAAAAAATTCTTATTTAAGAATTTATAGATAATATAATACAAATATTTTTGCATACAATATCTGAAATAAAAAGTTAAGCAGTAACAGTTATATATATATATAGAAAAAAATTGCATATTCAGGATGTTCATATTTCAAAGCTATCAAAAATACTGATATTAAACACTTTGAATAATTTTTAAGTATTTTTTTTAAATCAATAGATTATTCATTTAATGACAATTATCTTTTATTTAAAATATTTTTTACTATAATACATATTATAGTAGTATAATATGTAGTATTATATATATATAATAGTATTATATATATAATGGACAATAAATATTTTTAAAATATTTTTTTTTTTCATAATGAACTCGTAAGATCATATAGAATTTTTTTTAATGGAATCAATATTTTATTTGCAAAGAATATTAAAATAAATTTGAAAATATATAATTATAAAAATATAAAAAAAACATTTTTGTTCACTTAATACCAAATTATTTTAAAATAATTTTTTAATTGTGAATTTAATTAAAAACAAAAAAAAATAAAATTGATATTTAATTTAAATTACAATTTTTTTTGGCAGAAAACTATACTAATTTTATTATAAATGCAAATATGTATTTGTAATTAATAAAATCGAAGATTATTAAATAAAATCATGTATATATATATATATAAAAAAAA